CAGGAATAGTCAAGTATCAATCGCCGCCGGCGGACTCGTACCTCATCCCCAAGACCAATTCCGACAATGCCTCCGAGAACTGGGAGGTGCAGTGTTCCAGCCGGGACAAGGCCCACAATTGCGAGTACGCCATCGACGACCGCACCGACCGCTACTGGAGCAGCAGTCCCAACGAGCAAGAGCCGTCCTGGATCCGTATTGACCTGCGCAAGGAACACTATGTCTCGGGCGTGACCATGCTGCCGCGCCTCGAAGCCGAAGACGGCCAGATTGGTGAGCACCGCATCCTGCTGTCGCCCGATGGACACAACTGGACCGAGGTCGCCTACGGCACCTGGGGGTCCAACAAGAGCCCCAAGATGTCCGCCTTCATCCCAACCCCGGCGCGCTTCGTCAAACTGGTGGCCGAGACCGAGTCCCACCCCCACAGTCAGACGAGAAACGGACAGATCTCCATCTCCAACATGGCCGTCTACGCCTACATCGAAGGCACTTTCCCCGAGGCCGACCCCAGCAAGGGGGGTGTCTGGGGACCCACGCTAGATCTCCCCATTGTCCCCGTCTCCTCGGCCGTCGAGCAGCATGGGAACATCATCATGTGGTCGGCCTGGGCGGACGACCAGTTCTTCGCCTCCCCGGGGGGCAAGACGCTGACCACCACTATGAACCGCAGCGGCATCATCACGCAGAGTGAGGTCTTCGAGACCAAGCACGATATGTTCTGCCCGGGCACCTCGATGGACCTCGAGGGCAACATTGTGGTCAGCGGGGGTGCCGACTCGGGTCGCACCAGCGTGTACAATGGCACCGCCTGGAACAAGGGCCCCGCCATGCAGACCCCCCGTGGCTACCAGTCGTCTACCACCCTGTCCGACGGGCGCATCTTCGTCATCGGAGGGTCCTGGAGTGGCGGCGACAAGGTCGAGAAGAATGGTGAGGTCTACTACCCCGGCCCCAACGCCCACTGGGAGACGCGCAGCAACGCCAAGGTCGAGCCCATGATGACCGATGATCGTCTGGGCGCCTGGCGTGCGGACAACCACGGCTGGCTGTTTGGCTGGAAGAAGGCCAGCGTGTTCCAAGCGGGGCCCAGCAAGATGATGCACTGGTACAACGTGGACGACACGGATCGCAAGGGCCGCGTCCGGGGCTCGTGGGAAGAGGCCGGCGAGCGTGGCCAGGACCACGACTCCATGTCCGGCAGCGCTGTCATGTACGATGCCACGCGAGGCAAGATCCTGACTTTCGGTGGTCAGCGTCACTATGACGGCTCCAATGGCTCCAAGAACGCCCACCTCATCACCCTGGGCGATGCCTACAAGGACCCGGAGGTGGTGGTCGCGGGCAAGGGTCCCCGGGGTGACGGCGCAGGGGGCATGCACTACAAGCGCGTCTTCCACACCTCCGTGGTCTTGCCCGATGGCACCGTCTTCATTGCCGGTGGCCAGAGCTGGGGCAAGCCCTTCCACGAGGGCGACATCAACTTCACCCCGGAGCTCTACGACCCGGCCACCGACACCTTCCACGAGCTGACCCGCAACAACATCAAGCGCGTCTATCACAGTATCTCCATGCTGCTGCCCGACGCGACGGTGCTGAACGGTGGCGGTGGGCTGTGCGGTAACTGCACGGCCAACCACTACGACGCGGAGATCTACTCGCCCCCCTACCTGTTCGATGAGAACGGCAACAAGGCTCGTCGGCCTCAGATCACCAGCCTCTCGGACGGACACCGCGTCACCGTCGGCGAGCAGATCCGATTCAAGACCGACGACTTCATCGAGACGGCCTCCTTGGTTCGTGTCGGAACCACCACTCACACGGTCAACACCGACCAGCGTCGCATTCCGCTCGACACCCTCAAGCGCGTGGGTCATCTGCAATACAGTGCTCGTCTCCCCGAGGACCCTGGTGTCATCCTGCCGGGGTGGTATATGCTGTTTGCCATGGATGCCAGGGGCACTCCCAGCATGGCCAAGATGGTCAAGGTGGAGCTGGCCTCGCCTCCCGAGTATGTGTCCAACTTGGAGGATTCGGAGGCGGAGGAAAAGCACGTCAGCCACGGTCATGTCGGAGTAACGGTGGACTGCGACGAGGATAACGAGGTGATGGGCGTCATCGCCATCATGTTCGCTTCGGCCGGCAAGTTCTGGAAGAACTGGAAGGGTGCGCTGGTCTCGCAGGCTTAGCTAGAAAATTTTCATGGTTTCTTTAGTAGAGCTGTGATGTACAATGAAAGCGTCATTTTGTTCTATCTTAGCCTTTGATGTAATTCTCACGCGGGCAGCTCTAACGGGCCACCGTGAGAACGACGGAAATCAGCGTGACCTGGAAGCCATCTACGGAGGCATCAGTGATGGACTCGGAATAGCAGCATATGCTCCAGCCGATGGTGCATTCGGAGAGTGTGCTCACTGAAGAACCGCCGCCTACAAACGGCTCCCCCAGTTTTATACATGCAAATCCACACTCTAGTAGTCTCCTGATGATAGCAATAGTCGTGAGGATGCGCAGGACCGTGGTGAACGGCTTCGAGGGGATCACTGGGATGACTGCCGATTTTCCACCCAGAGCCACAAGCCGGACATCCGAAGGCGATGCTCTGCTCTACCATCGACCGACCAATGCAGTAGGTGTGCCAGGTGCGTTGGCAGCTCCGTCGCCAGCACTGCCAGAATCGCGCCCGCGGATTGGGGTGGTGGTAAGCCTGACATAGTCCGCAGGTAACCAAGGGGTAAGCTTCATCCTCCGGTGACACCATCACAACCGGCTTCTCCCGCTCGCTGCGTTGCTCAGGAGAAAGAGAAGTCAGATGGAGAAGCCTAGGATGAACAGTGAAAGACATTTTTGTGGAAGTGAGGGAGATGGGAGAACAATGCCTTGTTTGTCTTGGAACAAAGGAGTGAATTTATATCTTTCACGCGGCCGGAGATTCAAGGGCTACAAACAAAAAGAGAGGCCATTGTTCGACCACACCGCGCCTGGCAGAGCCCTGGCAGAGCCCTGGCATAGGCTGGAGGACCCCCCTTGTCTTTCTGTCAGGGAAGCAGGTTGTGTGCCGGGTGAATCCATCGATTGACGCACGATTCTTAGTCTATCCTGGTTCTACAACGGCTCTTTCAGGACGTTTCTTTCAGACCCTGTTTGTAGAAGCTTTCAACAGATCAAATACAAGGCAATACTTAGAGCTTTGTATAGTCAATGACAGAGGCCCAGAGGTCCCATAGATGGGTATAGAATCGAGTCGAATCCCCCGTCTGAATCAACTGTCTTCACACTCTTAGCTCCCAATTCATCTACACAACAGCGCCCTCAAACAGAGAACCAACATTTTCAACGACACTACCATTACCACCATGTCTTCCCAACCTAGCTTTAATATCAACCGGTCTCGTCACTCCCGGGACCTAATCTCGATCACACCGAGTGGGGCGTGGCTGATTACGCTCGAATCTGGGGAGGAAAATCGCGAATCGTTTGGGTCTTTCTCAACCATCAGGCAGTTAGCGACAACTGGATGCGCATCGGCAGGAAGCTTGCTAGTGAGGCGATGAAGATGAAGCGAGAGAAAGCAATTCTCCGCCGGTATTACGCTGGAACCTATGGGGCGATCGTCGAGTGTAAAGGCCGGGAGACTCAATTCTATATCGACACCCCGGTTGAGTCCGAGGCAGATGATAAGTCTAGGTCTACTTTGACCCACTGGATCCATGAGTTCGACGAATATCCTCAACACGACGGCCCGGAGAAAGCGTATCATGACACTTTCATTCGCAAGATGTACTCGGATAAGCCCGACAATCTTTCGGAGTCCGGGTGGCCGGAAAAAGAGTTGAAACACAAACTCCGGGTTAGGGCCGTCGAGCTCTGGGACAAGCCCTTTCCCCCTAAACGGTTCATTGTAATGTACAAGGAGAAGTGTGGGATTGCTAGCCTTACTTGAAGGTCTGGTACTGTATATCGTAGGTACAGTATCACTATCCCACCACCCTTAAATCAATAAGAATTAACCTCTCAGCTATGATCTGATCCTTGTAAACAGCGTTGTAATTTTTCAGTTTGAGTTGTCCATCTCACACCTCTCAGCGCCGGTGTGAGACTTAGTATAGCCTATAATCTGCTACTTTGGGCGTACAATCCTTTTGTCCAATGTTATCTCCTTGCTACCCTCCAGATCCATCTGAGTCCTCCATAGAACGCCTCTAGAGACTTGATATTCTTCCTCTTCCCGTTTGTATCTGGGCTCTGAGGCTCTTGTAAGACTAAGCATATCACTCCTGCAAGTCTTCGTAGGAGGTATGATGTTGCCGTGTGTCTGTACACCCAATCCTGGCCAAAGGTCTCAAGAACCTGCCCCAAGCTCGAGACACATTGACTCGGTCCAGGATCCGTATTCGGTGCACCGACTATATCAATCTACCTCCAGCCCATGCTAAATGACCAACCCCATGTAAGAGCATTATCTTCGAGTCACGTCTCGTCTGACCCTTGGGAAAGCGTTCTCTGTGCACGTACATTCTTGTCAGCACTAACGAAGGTCGGTATGGCAAAAGTCTTTGTACAGGCTCATTGGCTGGAAGGACCTTTCAAACCGAGGCTCAGCTCTATTGTTCAGTGCCATTGTACCTGCACCTTTCATTCACCCAATCATTGTTGTCGTCTTTGTTTACCTTGTTCCTTTCCGTTACCCTCTGCTGCGTGATCAATGAAGGATATTGGCTGGATCCGAGACTGACTTGGTGTGAATGACCATGTTCTTTGTGTATTTTAAGTACCTCCCTTTATAAGATAGCCTGAAAGGCGATCTGCCACAAAGAAAGGATAATTGCATACAGACGTTTCACGTGCCTTCTACGTGTATTCTAATCTTTCATGCTCAGCACCATAAGCCCCGACTGCTGGGTATAAGTACTACAGCCATCTTCGTGCTGGACATATTTAGCTTCAAGCCATCAAACCATCTCTACAACATCAACCTAGAGTACAGTCTAGAATCAGCCCTCATCACAACACCACAGCCATCATGGGTATCTTCAAAAAAAAACCAGGCCTCGACTCAATCTGAAGACAAGCCATACGGGGTGCCGAATATCGATCCAACGGAATGCGGGGTGGCCGAATACAGACAGGGTCGGATTATCATGGTCCGCCTAAACCCCCAGGCGTGTGGGAACGACTGGGAGATGATCGGCCAGAAGATCACCTCTGCTGCTTGGCAAAAGAAGCGCGAACGAGCCACCATTAACGCAAATCGGACTGACCGGCCGGGGTCATCTGTGGAGGATACTCATCTGGGCCCTTATGGAGCGATGGTCCGGTGTGATAACCAGGTTGGCTTCTATTTCGAGGCCCCGGGCGACTTAGCCCTGACGTCTTTCCCTTTGAAAGGCACTGATGGCTCGGTCTTCCACCGGTATCCCGGTTGTGGCCCGTACGAGCATAAGACGGCCTTTCTCCAGATGATCTATGCGCCCGATGCTACCAATACTTGTGCGCATTGTGCACCCGTGTCGGACTTGGAGGACCATGATTCACGGTTCATGATGCAAATCGTCGCATTTGAAGACCTGGTAGGGTGCAAGCGCTTTGACTCGAACTGGTTGGTGGCCCGCAAGGGACAGGATGGATCAATCGTCCTGGCCTAAAGATACCTTTCCTGAAGACCTAGTAGCCTTAAAAGCGATTGATTCTTTATTGATCTAGTCTTATTCAATCTTAAATAGATTTTTCACACATTTCTCTAATCTTTGTCTCAACCGTTTGCTTGGGAACTATCCTGGCCAAGAGATGACTAATCTCGTAAATGACTAACACTGCTCTTTCTTCTTTTGTAGTTTTCCTCCAATCTTTCATTCTGTCCGGATATCTTCAGTTCGTTGCTAGGGAGAACAAGCACCCGCTCGAAGATTCCATCCTTTTCTGGTAAGAAGTAGAACAATTCTTTCACTTGCCCTGTTGGGCTGACCTATAAAAAAGAATCGGAGTTTTAACCATCTTCCGGACAGTGCAGTATACAATCTCTATATGTCCGGTCTCGTACACTGTGGCGCTGGGCTATAAATACTAGTCCCATGCCCGGTTTGGGCCATGATATATTCAAAGGAACAAGCTTTCCCTCAATTCAATTGTAACGGTAAAGATTTGATCTCAGATCCACACGAGAAACCCAGATACTTCCAGTCACTCGTAGAAATGCCTCACCTAAACGAGACACAACTTGGAGTAGCCAGCCTAGGGCTGGAGACGGATCGGATGATACTCATCTTGCTCAACCCCGAGACCTGTGGCGAGGATTGGGAGACAGTCGCCGAGGCGCTAACCCGTGCAGCGTGGAAAATGAAGCGTGAGGAGCCATTGGCGCCCCCTGAGCCGTACGGTGCGAAGGTCTTCTGGGGAAATCGTAAGGTTGGATTCTTCTACGAAGTCCCGGTGGATGATCATGCCGAAGAAGATGTCCCCGGAGGCTCAGGCGCTTTTGCCCTAACCCCCTTCGTCCTCCCCAACAGCCACGTCTACTATGACACGCGCGACCCCGATGACTTCATTCATGAAAGACTTTTCCTTGGTAGATTGATGGCGGACGAGGCCGACGATCATACCGTGGATGCACAGGAGAGCTTGTGGTCCCAATTGCTGATGCTCGAGGAGTGGCTCCAGGAGGACTGCGAGAGCTTCCCTGGCTCTGTTCTGGTGTTCGAGACCTAGCTAGACTCAGGGCCTCCTTGGGCCAATTCAACGCTCAACATAGAGACTTTTCAACATTTCCCTTTTTAATCTTATTCTCGATCCTATCTCAAATATTCTAATTTCTGTTGTAATCTTCCCCGCAGCGAAATAGTCCGTCCGGCCTTGACAGATGTTACTCATGTCGCTATCCTGGCAGAATGAAGTATACAAGATGAGGAGTAACTAGTCCGGTGGGTAGTCGAAGCATGACTCTCACAAGATGCCATGGGACCGACGAAGGGATACTGCCGCCCGTCTCCGCTTGCAACCCCAGCTCGTGGCAGCCTCAGGTATCAGCTGCGTTGATGCCTGGGGTGTCCACTTCCTTATGCCTTAGGCATCACTGTCCCCCTCCTCCACCTTCGCAAACCACACCAAATCCTCCATCTCTTCTTCCAGCCCCAGCCCAAGGCTAACAGCTTTCCCATCCTCCAGAGCAAACTCAGCTGCAATTGATATCTCAAATCCGTCGAGATAGTCTTTCAGACGAGCGATGTACTTCGACTGCTCCCCGACATGATTGAAGGTGAGTACAAACCCAAAGGAACGATCGGTCGCATCGACAAACAGCCGATCCTCGTTTGCCTCCACCAACAATTCATGGTACCCTAAGTTCTTATACTGGCCCGTATACGCGCTGAGAGGTAGCTGCTGAGGTTCTGGCTCATGCATGTCCGGGCACAGCTTTTCGCGCAGCTCTGTCTCGCTAGGGCTGTCCTCTTTTTCCCAGCTGGTCCACTCGATGCTATTCCAATCAGGGCGCTCTGCATGGGGCACTTGGAGAACCTGGTCAATCAACTCCCTCGCCACAGCCGCCACTACCGGGATCGCCGTATCGGAATTTCCAAGGATTACGGCCCCGAATTGAGATCCCGGTAGAAAGAAGTGAGTACTGCCAAAGCCAGCGACTGCGCCGTCATGAGAGACCACCGCGTGTCCACGATAATGGTAGATCTCCCACCCCGCCGCGTAGAGGGTGAAGGATGTCTGCGGCGCGAGCTCCTCTTCCCCGGGGTCCTGAATTGAGCGTGGTCTGAGAAGTCCCTTGTAGAGGCTCTCCGTCACCGGGCCTTGGCGATGCATCATGGCTTTGACCCACCGGATGTAGTCGTTCACGCTGGTGATGATGGAGCCTGCTCCTTGAGCCTCGGGGCAATCTGGCGTTTGAAACCCACGGTGCTCGCCCTGCTCTTCATTCCAGCCGTAGCCCGTGGCGATACGATCGGTCAGTCCTCGATCGCGCGCTCGTTGCGGCTGGAGGTTGGTGGAAGCCATGCCCAGCGGTCGGAAGACGCGATCCTCCAGGAAATCGGCGAAGGGTAGCCCGGTCTTCTCCTCGACCAAATGCGTCGCCACAGTATACATCATGTTGCAATATATGAACTTGGATCGGAGGGGGGCAGCGAGGGGCAGATGCCGTAGATTGCGGGTGACGGATCGCGCCGTATCCGGGGCACTCGCCCGCGGGCTCAGGTAGGAGAAGTCGTGTCTATCGGTGTCAGTCCGCTATAGGGTCTGTGTCAGTTTTGGACCGCTGATTCTCACGAAGCCATGCCTGTTCGATGACTCAAGATATCATCCACAGTTACCCCGGCGGTGTAGGCTGCATCTTGTAGGACAAAGTCATCGGGTAACAAAGCCGACATGGGGGCTTCGTACTGCACCTCCGGGTATTGCTTGTCATCTTCGACCAGCAGGGCCACGGAAGCTGCGGTCAGAGATTTGGAAGCCGAGGCAATATCGAACAGGCTGTCTGGTGTGCACGGCTGAGGGGGGTCCAAAGACGCACTGCCGTACCCTGCTGAAGCAATGCGGCCGTGGTCGGTGATAGCCAGGGCAAGACCTGGCACATGACGTTCTTCCAGGAGTCTTTTTACACGGTCGCTGAATTCGGTGGACTGAAAATAATCAATGATATCCATTGGAACAGTCTTGACAGTTGCTCTGGCAATGCTTAAGCACCGGACTTCGATCTATCCTAGCCAATTCAATGGGCCGTGTGGTGGTGGTTGATGAGACTTGGATAGCGGGCACACCGGAAAAGGAGGGGTAAATCTGCCCTGCCCGCCTTACCAGGTATGTACTGTACTTGTGCCACCCTGCCTCAGCCACCGTAAGCCTATTTTGCCCTAGTGCCTTCTTGCGCTTGGTCACAACACGTTCTATCATTTATGCTAGGGAGCTTGGAGGGTGTTGAGAACGATGAAGAGCTTCGATATGTGGCAAAAGATTGTATAGTTGTACAGTCCATGGGTGGGAGAACGGTGTCATGCTAATTCCCAGCCCCACATGACATCCGTCACATCGAAGAATCAACACAAAGGTATCATTCAAAATATATGATTGCAACCCGCTGTAGCTTACGACCCTCTAGCCGCGATGGTCTGGACGATGATATAGTAGGCCAGCGCCAGCCCGGTAACCACGACTTCATCGGTGACCGGACCGCTCGGTAAACGTAGATCGAGCTCGAGTCGACCCGCCTTGGTCATTGTCCAACCCCGATTCGGAATGAAGGTGGCGACGACAGCGCCGTGCTCATCGCGGCACTCCAGGTACGCGGGATTCAGATATTTGGGGTTCTTCCAGGTGAGGACTCGGCCGTTGAGAGCCGGCGACTGGAAGGACGCTTCATACTTGAACACCCCGTGCGGCTTGAAGGCGATCTGGTGGCCGTTGACGCTGACATCGATGGACCGGGAGAAGGAGTGGAAGTTGACGGTGGCTGGCAGTCGAGCGCTCCCGGTGGCCTGGAAAATCATATGCGGTTTGCAGAAGTTGAGGTCAGCGGCGTAGACAAGAGTGCTCTGGTTGGGAAGCCCCTCGGTGACTTCCAGGTGCTTGCCGGTCCAGCTGGTGAAGTCGACATTGAGAGATCGCGTTTGAGACATGGTAAGAGAGATGTGGATGATGTGACGATATGATATCTGCGAGATTTCTCGGCATCTGGCTGTCTGTCCCAGATTTAACATCAACGACGCGACTATGATATACCGGCTGAAGTGAGCCCTCATTCATTCAGCCTTGTCCGATCTCGCCGTGGGGCCTGAGGCTGTGTCTCGCAGCTGGGCCGTCATTGGCTGCTCCGTCAATTCCTGTTTAGGAATACGAGCGGCCGACCGTCGACACCTCAGGATCAGAATCAGCCCTGTAGGCGTATATCCTTGTATTCTAGCTAAATGGTACAATGCATGGAGCATCGTGTCCGTTGTCTGGTCCTTGGTTCGAAAGAACCCTTGCTGAAGCTTAGCGTTTGTCTAATCCGCTGCCAGCGCATCGCCGCACTGGTATGATGTGCGTGTATGAGCACAACCCCCCTTGGCAGGCAGAATCGCTTTGGCCATTCCCACCTGACCATTCAGGCGACTGCCACTACAAGTCCCCTCGAGCTGTGCTGCAGCCTTTGAAAGTAGCTAAGATGCATTTCTAGCGTCTCGAGACAAAGAGCCCATGGTCTGGTCTGCAGCCAAGCAATGTATCGGCACCCTTGAAAAAGTCCGACCCCTGCAACCCCTGCTCATGACAAACAAGACGGGAAACTATTGGGCGGGGAGCTTCGAATGGCAGGGCGCATCTCTTGCTGATCCGTCTTGGACGCAGGGACAGCATTCCTCAGCTCGACACTCGAATTCCTGTCGCGGGCAACCACATACCGTATGGCTCTAGCGTATGGAGATGCGCATGACAGACTCCGGTCTTCAACCATCTGCAGTCCTGTATAAGAAGGTCGGTGTAATCGGCTGGTCGTCCTCTCCCATCGCCAGTCGAACCCGCTTGCTCCCGCTCCAACCTCCATAGCCCTAGGAAAGCCATCCTACTGACCACCACGAAATGGCATCCAAACCCACCAACCTTCCCCAACTTCTCTGCTTAGCACTGCCTCTCTTCGGCCTGCTCACCCAAGCAGCTCCCAGCCCATTCACCCCTTCTCCCAACACTCAACTGGAATCCCACGGGGGCGCGCCCGACGAAACTGGGATTCAAAACTACCCGTCCAGCTGCCAAAATCCCTGCGACGGGGTGACCCCAAACGCGACGGACCCCGTCTCTGGATCCTACTACTGCTCGTACTGCATCTGTAACAATCGTCTGCTGGGGCCGGCCAACTTCGAGCCCGCCAGCAATTTTACCGACTTCTTCGTCGACTGGAAGCCCCTGGACAGCCAGTGCCCGCGCGATTGGCTCTGCACCTGGTCCAACTTCACCGCAGGACCCTACCACAACACGCAGTACTACTACCCTCAGAATGATGGATTCAAGGGTTGCCCCGAGAATGTAACGCTGGAGGTGGGCACACGGGTCGATCGCTTTGGGTCCCCACGCGGCGGATACCTGGCCAGCCCTGAGACCTCCTTCGCGCAACGTTCGATCCCGCCCAGCAATCTGAACATCTTCAACGATAGCACTCTGTACAACTACTGGCAGTATGAGGTGAGGCGACCTTTTTGGGCCTTCTACGGCGAGGTGCTGCCGTGGTTTGGTCAACCCGGGGGTGGCGAGCAGTGGTATGTTCCCGCAGGATTGGGACCGCTGATCGACAATGGCACCCTGGTGCTGGTGGCGGCGAAAACTTATGAGGATGATGGGTCAGATGAAGAGTATAGGGCTGCTGCCTGGATGCAGGCGGAGGACGCGGTTGTGATGGGTGAGAACGAGATGTATCATTAGACTGAGGAAATTGGGCGCTTTGTCTAGCCGGTTGAATGTGACTGAGTGGGTTCTGTGGGGACAGGCCTTCAACAGGGTGTTTGAACAATCATTGTATTTAAGAGCATTATGAGTTCTAGCAGGCAAGCGGATGCCCGAGGCGTAGCTGACGACTCTTCCCTTACAATCCTAAATCCAATTACCATCCACACCAACCACAGAAGCCCGTATGCTGACCGAAGGCTGCTGCGAGGCATTCGTGGGCCGCCGAGCCCTCACCTTCGTGACTGAGAAACTCCTTCCCAACCCAGGGAGCTTCTTCGTTTGTTCCGTGGGCATAAGAGGCATCTCCTCGAGACGAAGGACTACTTCGACCGCCTTGTCATCCTCGATCACCTTGAGATGACGATTAGCAAAGTAGCGGGCATACTTGAACAACGACCAGTAGCAACTGGCCACATTGATCAGAAACAAGACAATCTTGTAGGGCATGTAGTAGACAAGTAAGCAAGTCCAGCTGACAGGCTCTTTCTTCTTGCGCAGGTGAATGAGGTTGAAGAGGACAACATTGAGCAAGTATAAGCCGTTGGTGGCGCCCAGCATGATCCCGCAGAAGGCCGGCCGCACGGCGAAGGAGATAGGCAGCATAAAGGGCGCCACAAGATAGAGAAGCGTCTCGTAGACCTGCTCAATGTCAGTTAGCTGACGATGGTGCTTTGCTCGGTGCAAGAAAGAATCGCTGCTTACCTCCTGAAAGACAAACAATTTGGCCCCAAGCTCCCACCAGCCTAGGTTCCAATTACACAGGATATACTTCATATTGAAGTACATCCCGTTGACGAAGAAGAAGTTCCAACGCATGAAGCGTTGTTTGAAGATGGTCATTTCGCCAAACCCTCCGCGAGAACCACCACCGCTGAAGAATACCGCCGACGGAGTTTCAGTCTCGACAAACACCGCCGAGCACATGGTGATGCGCCCGCCCAGCCGGCGACAGCTGTCCCCGAAGAACCAGTCCTCCGACACGGAGAAGCCGGGATGATCATGGAAGGTCTGCTTGAGGAAGTCGGTCCGCCACAAGGAGATGGCACCGTGCGGGAAAGTAGCACTCCCCAGAAGCCCCGCGAAGGCGCGCTGCAGCCCCGAGATCTTGTACTCCAAGTCCTGTGCCTGCTGGCAAAAGGTCCCTCGCGACGACGCCGGCCCGACACTCTTGATAGTATACCCGATGCACTGTACGCGTCCCTTCAATCGGTCACTCACTACCGGAAAATTGGCCGGCAGAGCGCAATCATCGTCGATCAGCAACACGTTTGGAAAGTGCTTGGCCGCGTAACAGCCCACAAACTGGGCGATGATCTTGCTTCCGACCGGACACCACAGATGGTTCACTCCGTACGGACGACACATTTCTTCAGTGTTGTCGAGTGGCTCCGGGGCGTTTCCGTTGGCAATCACGAATATATTCTGGGGTGGGAAAATGCGGAGGGCTGCTTCCAAGGTAGGCCCAATGATATTTGCCGACTTGTAACAGGGAATCAGTAGGGCTGTGTCCTGGGCTGTCTTTCGGTTGTGCTCTAACTTGGCACCTTCGAGCTTCTCCAGCACTGCAGGAGGATCCTTTTCGAAAGAAACAAACAAGGGTCCGAAGGCATAGCTGGCCAGGAAGAGAGAGCGTTAGCGATTTGCGCCCATGCCACCACTGACTCAACCGGGATACGTACACGAAGGCCACACCTATTGTAATCGCCCAACCGCCGTGAATCACAAACTCAAAGCGCACCACGTAATAAAGCCACCAGACCGCGCCTTTCCAGAGTGGAATGCCAATGAGGACAAAGTAGATGAATGCTATCAGGATCAGATAGACAGCATATTCGAACAGCACCTGAACCCAGTATTTCCTTTGCAATGCGACCCGCCTTTCTTTGGCTTCCTGGTAGATGTCATAGATGCTGTGTCGTGCGGCTTGTCGTCCTGTCTGGGGTCGAGACCCGGTTTCGATGCGAGAGATTCGGTAGCTTTGCGGACGTGGGGGAAGAGGCCATACGCCATCTCGGGATCCGGAGACTGGTTCGCCAACGCCTGACCCTTCTAGTTGTTGGATCTGGGGTGGGAATTGAACTCGTTCATCCGCGATCGGCTCATGTACCTGAACCGGGAGTCCAGGTGAACGTGCACACTCAGCAGAGGCATTGAAATCCGGACGCGGGGAGACACATGGTGACTGAACTTCAGTAATGCTGCTCAATTCGGATACGCTCAGCGGCTCGCTCAGACGTCGAATGTTGGCAATTGTTCTGAGTTTCGGGGGTTGGTCTCCGCCAACAGTCGCTGAGCGGCGCAGACGTCCAAACTCCCTTTCAAATACAGCTGTCTGAATTGCCTGCTGAACAGGTCCCTGCTCCAATGGATCACAGTGCGAGCTGTTCCACAGATGACTCGATGGCGTTGTGGTAGCCAGCAAATGGGCGGGAATGACCACATCATCAACCACGGACATGCGAGTATTTGGAGCAGGCATTGAGAGACACAGTTTTGCTGTAGTCCAAGGCTCTGGGATGACAGTCGCACTCCTGAAGTGGAGCGAGAGGGTTCACCAGGCTGTATAAATTGCACACATGATGAAAAGGCGTGCCTCATGTTCCGCGGCGCGATCCAGACCGTGGACAAGCAGGGCCCGGTTCCTGAGCAAGGCGTCATCATTCTGAACCTCCGGTCTATTTGCAAAATGATCCGGGTCTGGTAGAGTATGCAGCCCGACTGATTCGGCATGTTCTCATGCGCAATTTGTGTAGGCCCGGACGGCAGTCGTCATCCAACAACTACAAGATGTGGTAGCGTAGATGAAGAGTGGGCACCAATACAGAATTAGAACTAGTAGTCTAAGCTCAGCGATATATCTCGCACACGAACATGATCGCCGGGGCCCGTTTCGCCTGGCATACTTTGTGCATGTGGGGTTTTGATGTCTGGATCATGCATCTCGGCTTCGGGGGGGCAAGCTATAATTGTAAGTATTGGCACGATGCAAGTGATGATTCGATTCCAACCTCGTAGTCTTAGTATCATAGTCAACTATTGGTGAGCTGTCTTCTGTCGCGTAGCTGTCCAGTCAGGACATGGTGAAGTGTAAATTGAGGTAGGAAGGAAGTATAAGTTAGGTAAAGAAGAAAGAAGAAAGGATGGTCGATGGCCTAAAGCGGCAAGAAGAAGATAAGTGGGAAGCACGGATGGCATTACGTAACCCACGGGACGAATTCTTTTCGATCCACCGCTATTTTCAGGAACTTTTTTGGGCCTCGTCATCATGGATCACCTCGCGATGATTGGTAGCCTCCCATTGGACTGCGCACGCTATAGACTCGTACCTGGTTGAGATGTCGTTTCTTACCAGTGGATTGGAGGAAGAGCCAAGGCTTTGAAACAGCAACGGGTGGCTGTCCGAGGTGGCTGTCAAATCCAGGACCTGGGAGTATACCCTTCATATGCTTTTCACGCCCCGGCTTGCTATTGCTTCTGAAATTCTCATTCCCGGGGGTAACGTGCTCTGGGAGTATATAATGCTCAAGGACACGATATGGTACAGTACTCCCCTGGACTAACATGATAAAAAAAACCAAGGTACCCTGCGCATTCCACCAAATTGGGCTCGTAGGGCAAGGGCTCGTCACCCGCGTATCCACTGTGGATAACAGTTCAACCGACTTACGAAGCAATCCTAGGAAGCAACTTTGTTATGGAGATCCTACTTCTTTTCGCATCTCCCAGTGGTGTTCCTCGCATACGTACAGAAATTCATGGTCCTTGTCATTGCACGCCAACTGCCCGCCCGTTCCTGGTTCAGCTCCCTCCAGCTGGCCCTTCCGAACGTCGTGGTGTTCGTCCACAGGCCCTTACGTGGAGGACATCTTACTACGTAGAACAACGAGAGGAGGGTCGTGTGAGTGACCGTTATCGAGGGAATTCATCCATCTGCCCCTCATTACTGATGTCCTCAGATACATGCAATCCGCCTGTGCATTCGGTGGCGTTGCCAAGCCTGCAAACGTTTACTCTTTCGGGTAATGTTAGGAGGCAGCGGAGCCGAGGGCTTTCCGGCAGATGTCTAATTTGATCTGGACAGTTTGCCTTGAATCTCGTCTCCCGTGGGGGTCTTCCATTCTCCCGTGGGTATTTAAGATGTTTGTCATTGCTCATCGCACATTGATGTCTGCGAAATGCCGTATATTATTTACTAGGTAGGACCGACTTCGGAGATGTGAGAAGTGTGGTTTAACATGCACTCTTCATGGAAACTAAGCAACTGGGCCATACATATACTCATTTCTCGTCCGCGATTCTGATCACAGCCCTGTCGGATCTGCCCTCTATGTTAAGTGATTGTGCTGACATTGGCCTCATGTGGGTGACAGGGTCTACTGCTTTGAGTCACAATTGTCTCTGGGTCCGCACGTCGGCGATTTCTCCATGCCTAAAGACCCAGGCGTGCTTAGTCTGTCCAACTTTCGAAACCCTGGTCGAACTCATAAATCTCTTGCCCATCGATCATCGCAATGTTTGACAAGTATACCTTGCGTGCCCGAGCCAACCAGTCCGTGACAACAATGCAACCGATGACGGCATATATCACGCAGATGTAATTCATATCTGGCGAGAGTCAACCATCGTGTCAGCAGCAGAAGACAGAGCACTCGCACTTACTTCCAGAGGTAGCGGGCATCTGCGCAGGAAATGAGTAAAAGACCCAGGTAAAGAGAATCCATCCCAAGCAAACCCAATTAGCCAACAGGCCCAGCCCCCCAAGCCAGAACGGACCATGGTGAATATTGTTACGGCCACGGAGCAAAAGACCCATAACCGGCAATACATAGGATAGGTACGGGAGCACGATACATCCCGTCACCATCGAGTTGAAAGCCGTCTGCGAGGCGAGGTAGATGCATCCGATGGCACCCACAATGATCGTGTTGAGGGTATGCGCGGCCAAGGGAGTCTCAACGCAGGGAGCAATCTGGGACCACACCCGTGAAAAGGGGACGCCATGGTCGCGGGAAAAAGACCAGCAGAGCCGCGCAGCCCAGGTATGGCAAGAAATCATGTTGCCCATACCGGTCGCAATTGTCAATGCTTCCAGAACGATGGCGCCGGCGTCGTTGCGCAGAGCTTGACGAAAGAGCTCCAGACTGGGGAAGGAGGCTGCCAGGAACGCGGCGAGGTCCTGGACGCTGAACATCATCGCGAGGACGAAGGCGAAGGAGGTTACCTGTCCATGATTAGCGACTACTGGCTAGTGACAGACGTGGAACAGAAAGCGAGGCGGACAAATCCGATAGCAATTACCCCCATGATGGCAATAGGTACCATTCTCTCGGGATGTTGAATCTCCTCCGCCAGGTGGACAGCTGCATCGAGGCCGCTGAAACCCCAGTTTGCATTGATCAATCCGACGATAAAAGCAATGCCGTCATTGTTCCAGCCAGTAGCATTAGAGAAGGAGGCAAAGACGAAGTTTGGGGCGGTATGGGTTGCAGCACGCGCAGGAACTGCAATGAGAATGACGACGAAGGCACCTAGGCTGGTCCAAAGACACGCATTGCCGACAAAGGACAAGGTTCGCCCGTATATATTGAAGAAGAAACAGAAGACGTTGACGACCTGGTATACTACCAGCGTGTGCCATGGTTTTATTTCCCTCCATTTGTCAGATGGTTTGTTCAGGCTTGGGTAGGAGAAAGGACATACAGTGCTGGATGGGAGAGGGCGTAAGAGCCTACACAGGCCGATGCAACGCCCGATGCAACACTGGCAGAACTGTTTATTGCATACTGCTAGTCAGTGTAATGTTTAACCCAAAGGGGAAACGTAAACCCAGCGCACAACTAACGCGAAGATCGACCCCGACCAGGCCAGCCAGCCGGTGATGTAGGAGGCAAGTCGAGCGTATTTGCGAGGAATCAGCTCCCTGGCCCAAAACGACTGCCCAGCAGCGTTGGGCATGGCACTGACTAGCTCTGAAAGAGTGGCTGCCACGGCCGTGGAGACAAGAGCCAGGAGAATGCTTCCGTAGACGAGTAGGGCTGACCCTCCGGAGTTGATGCCAGTCACCAGAGAGGCAGACACTCCCCACCACGAATTGGTCAGAGAATATGCTACCCCCAAAACCGACAGCACAGAGTACTTTCGCTCCATCGGCTGTGAGTATCCCATCTCCTCGAGGCGCTGCGTGTCTGCATCCCTCCTTGGCTTCCCCTCTTCAACCCGGGGCTCGGGGGCCTGGGGCTCGCTTGAGGCCACATCGCCTGATTTCTTAACTTGAACCATTTGGCTTGAGTAGAGGTTTGACAGAGATAATGATCATGCGTACGATAAACAATCAAACGGGGAACTGGGGGCTACGTCGCTCCCAAATATAAGGTCCACCAGCCAGCTGCACCCCTACCCGGGCCATCCTGCGCGTGACCACACTGGAGACCGCCCTTTGAGGCTAAATGAAGGAGCAGCTCCAATGCGGCCAGTCAATCGCATTCATGTCGATTGATACTGGGCCAGGTCATCATGAAAGATATACAGTCCTTACCCACTGTTATCAATGCTATTCCCTTCCCCGCTCTTCCCCGCAATCTCCGCATTTGGACGCAGCTGGATGGAGACATTGAGATCTTCACAATGGCTATGTTTAGTGCGCAAGTGATACATTTCGGCGCTACCGACGAATGATGGGTTTTTCCTGCTTGCAACCGGAGTTTGCCAGTGGTCAGAGATAACTTCAAGTTGGTTGTAGTTAGGCGCTTCTGCACGTCTCCGCTTTAACAGTATCGTACAATCCACCAACGACATTCTACCCTAGTCCTTGTCACGTTAATGCAATAACTATCACCCCTTCCCGCCCATTCTCCGCCATGACAGCTCAATGACACCACCCCGTCAGGATGTAGTGTCGTAGAAGGTGAAAGTGAAGGCGAAGGCGCGGTGAGAGTCACGTGGCAGCTCTTCGACAAGTGTCCATGAGCAAGGGCAGTAATCCTGTTCCCCGCAGAGGAAACAGTCGCAGACCGGCATGTCTTCTCATATGCGTACAGCTATGGCTATTTCCTCTTACTCTGTTTAATGGTCTAAAGTAGCATTCGCAGGGTATTCAGGTGTCTTTACCACTTTCCCACTGGGCGGTGAGGGGCGGCAAGTGTGAGTCATGTCGATGTTTATTGCGTACTGTAGTACTTTTATCATCTTAGCACAAAACAGTCACCACACAATCCCTCTCCCTGAACAGTCATCATGCTAACTCTCACCCTGGTGACCGGGAATAGACACAAGATCTCCGAGCTCAATGCAATCTTAGGAAGCTCAGCCACCTTAAACTCAATCGACCTCGATCTGCCCGAGATTCAAGGCTCCGTGGAAGAAATCACCCGAGAGAAATGCCGTGTGGCAGCCGAGAAGGTACGGCGAGGCGGTTGAACTTTTATAGACGCAAACTGAACCGACTCGGTAGATCTCTGGTCCGGTCCTAGTCGAGGACTCGGCACTCGAGATGCATGCTTTGAATCGCATGCCGGGGCCATATGTGTTTGTCCGCCCTGCATTTCTGTTGTGCATGAGTTGAAAAGGCTAACTCGCATGTCTATTGCGACCCATACAGCAAAGCGTTTGTAGATAGCGTCGGCAACGAGGGTCTCTACAAGATGGTTGCTGCATTTGAGGATAAGACCGCAGAAGCCGTCTGTACCATAGGCTATTCCTCAGGCCCTGGGGCCGAGCCGATCCTCTTTCAGGGGAGGCTATTGGTAATCACTGCTTTGAATTGACAGCTGTTGGCAATCACTGATCTCAACCAGGGCAGAATAGTCCCTCCGAGGGGTATCTCCTCATTCGGTAGGCTTTGTCTTCAATTGGCATGTCCGATCACTAACAGCAATGCAGGGTGGGAACCTATTTTCGAACATGGTGGGGAGACATTGGCCGAGATGGATGTGGAAAAGAAGGTAAGAACAACTAGCATGTCGCATGATGGCTCAGTCTTACTCACACAATACGTAGAATGGACTGTCCCATCGATTTCACGCCGCGCAGAAGTTGAGTGAGTGGTTGAAACAGAATAAGCGAATAGTGCAGAGTAGGCGACCCAGCTCTGTCTTTGCAAGTACTGAATTACCCCGAATAACCTGATGCTAATGTTCGTACATCAGCCATATGTGACTCTAATTAACCAATTCGACCCCATTCGATAGAATAGAATTTCCATGTCCCGATCCCGATCATGTGCCAGACCTAGCTTTCTTGCAGTTATTGGAAGTAAAATGAACGAGACCAGGGTGGTTCCGCGTTGATCCTACACCACATCGGCTTCCAACGAAAACTCCTCCCGCAAAACATCTGACAAAAGCTTGACGCCTTCACTCAAATCCAAAGCCGGCGCAGCCGCAGTCGTCAATCGGATATAGAGCATACCCCGGCGTTCTGTTAGGCGAGAATAATGACCCCTTCGTGACCTGCACCCCGTGTTCTAGAGCCTTCAACACAATCCGACTTTCCATTTGGACCAGGAAAGTCTTCATATCGGATTGAATTGTCGTATGGTGGCGAAGCAGAGGATGCTGGCGGTGATCCAGCTCCAGCCAAAGAAACATCCCATATTGGGGACAATTCCAAGACACAAGTCCGCGAGGAAGATACTTCTCGCAAGCCCGCAACAAAATATCACGACGCGACTGATACTGCCGTGAGAGGTTAGACAACCACAATAAAAAGCCTTCATGACCCCACGTCTCATCGAGCAACTTCCAGAGCATGAGCTGGGTCGGCCCATTGATTCCCAGTGTCGAGACCTCCTGGTAGGCCACAAATTTGTTGATGATCTGCGATGAGGCTGTCACCCACCCGGCACGGAGTCCAGGCGCCAGAATCTTGGATGTTGAGTCTAAGCGGACGACGCGACCGGATCGATCGATCGAGAGATATGATGGAACTGCCTGCGCCTGAAACCTGTCGATCGCGGTGAGCACGCTATCACCCCAATTACCTTGCCCATCAGGTCTGTCATCAGACTGCATGCCCAGACGTAGATAGTAGTATGGGTCATCTTCGATGATGATCAGGTCGTGCGTTTCCGCGATCTGATAGATCTGTTCCCGTCTAGCCACACTCTGAGTGACCCCAGTGGGGTTTTGCCCGGTGGGAATCGTGTATAAGACACGGGGCTTTGAAGCTAGAGAGGTATCCCAGTTGTGTAATATGTCGTCTAAGTCATCCGGGTGCAGTCCTTCTGAATCCATGGACACGCCCTGAACTTGAATACCCTGCAGGCCTGCTCCTTCCACGGCGCCAGGGTAGGTATAGCACTCAGTGAGAACGGTGTCTCCTCGGTTGCAGAAGATACGGTATATGATGTCAAGGGCAGATGTAGAGCCGCACGAAAGACATACGGCCCAGTCTGAGTACCGCAGTTGATGCATCATCTCCACGTGTTCTGTGACGAATCGGAGTAGATGAGGGGAGCCCATCCCGCTGCTGTAGTTGAGGCCGTTGGCTAGATTGAACGTGTCCGTGTACTTGTCTATCGTAGTCTGGTTGCTGGAAGACTCGCCGGCCAGAGTCGGTGGCATCGACTCAGTTGTCATAGAGTCCCATGGATAGTAATCTGCTGTGGGCCGTCCGGTGCCCAGGGAGATGACCTTGCAGTCACTGGGCTGGCTCGCGGACTTTTTCAACGCTGAACCTTGGAAGCCTCGACTTTCGATACTCCAATGGTCATCGCATCGCTTTGCGTGAGGGAGATCGCGTGTGTGGGCGGATTTGAAGGCATCCGAGGAAATGGCGGGAGCGATGGCGAACGACAAGGGCTCCGACTCCGTCCGGAGAGCCGTGATGGAGGCAGGCTGTAGAGGCGGCATCTTCGTTATGGGGTTGGATTTGTATCGGGCAGTAATGAACAAGGATATTCGCGGGCATATACTTCTTGTAGACGTATTGGAGGGGGTGATAAATAAAGATAGATAAAGGCGCCTTGCGTGATTGAGGCACACGCCGAACACGCCGACGCTTACTCCGGTCCGCGCTTTGCCTCATCTTCGATTCCTGCCCGGCCCGAAGGTAAATCGGACTGATCGAACACGCCGATAAATCTCAGATTCGAGCAATTGGCGCCATTTTCTTCTCAGTGGTTCATGCACTATAAATTCCACTCTGTTGTCGACAAGGTCTTAGCAATAGGGCAGCTTGGCTTCAATATCTCGTCATTTCAACCCCAAGACCAGCCACGCTCACCACCATCCACCATGTCCTCAGTCACTTTAGCTGAGTATCTTTTCACACGCCTTGTGCAGCTGGGGGTAAACTCTCTTCATGGCGTCCCCGGTGATTTCAACCTCCGCCTGCTTGACTACGTGGAGCCGACGGGACTGCGATGGGTGGGCAATGCCAACGAACTCAACGCCGGCTATGCCGCCGATGGATATGCTCGTATCAAAGGAGTCGGTGCCTTGATCACCACCTTTGGAGTCGGAGAGCTGTCAGCCATCAACGCCATAGCAGGCGCCTTCGCCGAACGTGCTGCGGTGGTACACATCGTCGGAACCCCATCTCGAGAGACGCAAGACCAGCGTCAGTTAGTCCATCATACCTTCAACGACGGCGAGTACCGCCGATTTTCAAAAATGGCGTCTCATGTAACCGTTGCTCAAACGCGACTGTGGGATCTGGAACCCAGCCCTGCCCAGATAGACGAGGTCCTGCAGCAATGTTTGCGGCATAGCCGTCCGGTGTATATCGAAATCCCAGTGGACATGGTTGATCAACCTGTGCTGGTCGAGCGATTGAGTCGCCCTCTCGACATATCGCCACTACCACCGGTCTCCTGTTCCAAGGTCCTGATGGTGCGGATCTTAGACCGGATATATGCTGCCAAACGACCAGTCATTGTGGTTGATGGGGAAAGCCGACCAATGGGAATCCTTGGACAGCTTCAACGTTTCATCATCACCACCCAATGGCCATTCTGGACGACGGCATATGGGAAAGGCCTGCTGGATGAGACCACGTCCAACTGCCACGGGGTTTATCGGGGTAGATTCGATAGTCTTGAGGCGCAAGCATACGTGAATGGGGCTGATTTGGTTCTTTACTTTGGTCCCCATTTGAGCTCGAGCAACACCTTTTCATGTTCTGCCATCCCTAGAGACGAGGTAGCCATCTACATATCAGACATGGCGGTTCAATTCGGTCGAGAGCTCTTTCGCGATATTCCCGCTCAACATTTGCTGTCACAAATCCTGAAAGGGCTGGACATTAAAAGAGTAGTGTCTGACAATGCTCACCAACGCATTCCCCGCCTCTCGTCGTTAACGTTGTCGGAAGTTGCTGGTCCGAGTCCCATTACCCAGAACCATTTATGGCGGCTTCTCGCAGGATATCTTCGTCCCGGGGATATTGTTTTGGGAGAGACGGGGACTGCCGGGTATGGAGTGCGAGAGATGGCTCTGCCTCGTCATAGCCGCGTCTTCACCCCAGTCACTTGGCTATCCATCGGGTATATGCTTCCTGCATCTCAGGGAGCTGCCCTTGCTCAGCGAGAATTGATGATGGCGGATGAGTATCAGGGCATCCGCGATGCACGCACCATCCTATTTATCGGGGATGGTAGTTTCCAGATGACGGCGCAAGAGCTGGGGACCATCATCCGATTGGGGCTGAATGTGGTGGTATTTGTCGTCAACAACGATGGATACACCATTGAACGTTGCATCCACGGGCGTCAACAGGCGTACAACGATATCACTCGATGGCGGTACTTGCAGGCTCCTCAACTCTTTGGTGGGGGCGAGGAGGTCTACACAGCCTCGGCTCGCACCTGGGACGAGCTGGGAGGGATTCTCACCACAGATCAGCTGTGGAATGGATCAGGATTGCGCATGGTGGAGATTGTATGTCATCGGGAAGATGCCCCGGATGGACCGTTGGTGGAGTATTTGCAGAGACAGAACAGTGTGTAGTTGTAGTTGTAGTTGTTGTTAAAAGAATCGAAGAAATGAAAAGAGTTAATTCTGCCGGGTGCCTGGAGGATCAGGCTGCAACTAAAGCCTCACCGCCTTCTTCAACACGCCGAGTTTCTCTCCGCTCCGATTGTTCGTCTCCGATCCACTTCCAATTTCTTCTCCAGATTGTATTCATCCTCTTGGTTTCGCGTCAGTCAACATCACCACCGCCCTGGATGATATCTAGGCAGCCTGCCTGCGAGCCTTGCCGCAAATCCAAACTAGCCTGCGACCATACCCAGCCGGTGTGTACGCGTTGCCGGACCAGCAACCGAGCCGGACTGTGTCTCTATCGCTCCACCCCCTTCAAGAGGAAGCGGCCTCTGACATCCAACGAAAGCACTGGAGAGTCGCGCTCGTCTCCGAGGTATACCAATGTCTCACTCTCAACGGTGGTTCCAGTCGCTGATCACCCTCATGCCAGTCACGACCCTTTTTCCACCCCCTCTGCCCGGCCCTCTCGCCGTCAGCGGTATCCCAACCCCGGATACATCGGCTCCTCCAGTCATGTGGCGATCTTTGGTCATATCCCTCCGACTGCAGCGGATCAGATTGTGGCACAGCAGTCGGCTGAGTCTACGGCCCCCTCAACAACGATGGACATAGACGATGACGATGTACTGCTTCAGCGCGCGGCAGACGCAACCCGGCTGCTGTTGGCTCATGCACCTCTGCAATCCATGAAAGACCTGGTCAAGTTGTGGTTGTCGAGTGGTGCTAGCCTAGCACTTGGAGGTGCCTGGCTTGTGGCTGTCATCAACAGTATTGACCTTGCTTTGACCTCGATGTCTACCAATGCAAATTGGCATCGGCAATATGCCGAACTTCTGTTGAGTAATTCGGCGCAGCCCTTGCATAGCGACTCGTCCATGACCTTTGCGAAATTCTGCGCTCAATTCACCGAGCATAACATTAGGTGGGAGACCTTGGGCCTCTTTGCTCTGGCAGTGATTCGTGCCTCGTATGATGTGTCATATTTCGCACCGTTGTACTCGAAGGACAATGGCCCATATGATCTTCGAAAGCGATGCTTCCGTGTCGCAAACTGTGCTCTCGAGATAGCCTTATCGTTGGACCAGCTCAATGACCTGCAGCTAGTACTTCAGTACGAGAACCTCATCGTTCATTCGTACATAGCAGGCGATCAGAGTCAGCGCAGCTCTCCATCCGGACCATGCCAGTTCCTTTGCACTGACGAGACCCAGGCTATCAGTATTGGAGACGACTTGGGGATGGAATTGCTTCTATCTTTGCTCTCGGTTATCACCAGACCAACGGTCTGGAGCGCAAGGCCCCTGCTTTTTTACAAGAGTTGCGTCGAACCGCATTCGCGCGAATCTTCTCCGCCGATAAGAACATGGCCATTTTCCTCGGTCGGGCCCCGCGGATGCCACGCCATTTCTGCGACTTTCAGATCCCGTCGGCTCCTGCAGGTACCAGACACTGGGAGCTGTCTTCAGACCCGAGTGAAATCACTCCAGGTTGGAGCCCAGCAGCTGTTCCCTCTTATGTGGCTGAGTCACGGTGGTCCGCGTTGTGTGCAAGCCTCAAGGAAGATATCTTATACCTGCAACGCGACAAGAATAGCGACCAGTTTCAGCAGCAAGTCCGGTATTTCCCATCCTTCGGCATTAAACATACCAGAGCTTTACTAATCTTGCTAGCACTATACAAGCACAAGCTGAGAGATTGTGGGATGAGCTCCCGCGACAGTTTCGGTTGGAGGGAAACCTGAAGGAGGTAACAAAGGACGGGTTCGAGAGGGACTTTCTCGCTAGCTTCCAGCTCAATCATCTGCATGTCCTGTTTCTTCTTCGCCTTGTGGTCCTACCCTCCCCTGCCACCCCCAGTCAGGATCTTGTCACTCTCGCGGAGCAAATTCTGGCTACCGTCGTCGCCTTGTTAATGCTTCGCGACCAGCTCACCAATTCGGGGACAAGTCTGATGTGGAAGGTATGAGTCGGATCAATGAGCAACATCGTGCAAGATACCAACTAATGGAAATTTCTCAGATTGTGCATTATGGCCTTCCTGCGGCAGGCATCATCCTCTTAGCCGTGTTGAACCAGCGTTGTTCATCCGGGCCGGTTCCAGCCCCTCAGCCACGGGCGATCCAGAACCTGACTGTTTTGGCTGCGGAGCTGTCAGGCGGATCGGTGGTGCAACTGCAAGACCCTAACTACGATCTGATTTCGAAGGCATTGTCCACGATCCACAACATACTGGATTCAATTACAGCGGATGCACTGCGGGGACCGGGGGCGCCGTCCCCCCGCACCACGACCCTCGCCGACTGGGAAGAATTTCAAAGCCAGCTTTCGTGGGACCTGGACCTTGGGTTCTGGCAGAATCTGGCCGATACCCCATTTTTGGGGGATCAAACGAGCCCCGGGGCACTGCATCCTGTTTCATGAGATTACCAGATGGTTAGGTAGGGCACTAACCGAAAATAGAAATGATGCTGCCTGCCGTGGATGAGCGCCATGACGACATCATCGTGATGTATTCCAGAATCCCCCAACCCATAGGGCTGAACGGAGTCTTTCTTGGCTTTAAAGCTTGGCTGCGATCGCCATTGCTTTATTTGCCCATCGGTTCCGTCCCTGAATGATAATCATCTTCATCATCCATGGCTTCCTCCCGGTCGGTGCCTGTCTCTAATCACCTCCCTGGTCACCTCCGTCTTGCCGCGTGTTACTGATGAAACATCACAGAATTCGACGCGATCCCACCTGGTCCGCCCGCCAAGGTCTGGCTGGCTCATTCTTAAAACTCTTCCTTCGGACCTACACAGCCTGTCAGTTCAAATGGCCCATTTCTCTCAAGCCACACCATGAAGGGAACCGGTTTGTGGTGATCGAACCCGCCCCCACGCGGTTTTACACAGGCATTGCAGTGGATAAAGAAGTCAGGCCTGAGCCCGTCGGGGCCACTTGGTTTCCAGAACCTTGCGTTGCCGCCACCTCCATTCCTGATGGGCAATACGTCGTGCTTCATCTTCACGGTGGTTCGTATGTGCTGGGTGACGGACGCACCTCCTCCTGCAACTTCCTCGCGAAGACCCTTCTCACCCACACCCCGGTCAGTCACCTCCTGTGCTTACAGTACCGACTCGCCTGCTACCCCAACGGCCGATTCCCAGCCCAGCTACAGGATACGCTCGCTGCGTATGTCTACCTCATCCACACCCTACAGATCCCTCCATCCCGCATTGTGCTATCCGGAGATAGCTCAGGGGGGCACCTTGCGCTGGCCCTGCTGCGCTACATAGTCGAGTACGACGACCCGGCCCAACTCCCGCCTCCGAAGTGCAGCTGGCTCTGGTCGCCATGGTGTGATGTCCCGGCCGCAGTGGACCCGGACAGTTGGACCCAAAGCGAAAACTACGGCACTGAGTACATCCCTGGCTCCTTTCCCACCTGGGGCGCCCGGCAATTCCTGCGCGACCTGGCCATCACGGAGACGATGGAGCGGCACGTGGCGCCCATCCACCATCCGTTCATACTCCCCTCGCCCGTGTTGATTATTACCGGCGGTCGGGAAGTCCTATTCCCCGATCATCAGGAACTTGTCCAACGGTTCCAGGAATTAGCCGGCAATGAATCACAGATTAAGCTGGTGGTGGAAGAGAAGGTGCCTCACGACGTCCTCATGATCGGTTGGATTATGAAATTCCAGCGGGAAGCAGAGGCTTGTGCTCGACAAGCGGGGGATTTTGTGCGGCGCGTGGAGGCTTCAGAGAGGTTTGGGGTGACAAAGCAGGAAGAGGTACGATGATGGCTTTGCTGGTCAGAATTGAGCATTGAATGTACGTCATGTAGTTTAGTGAATATAGATCAATAATGGAGTACCCAGCTCAAGGGAAAGTAAGCCCCGGGGCAAGACCTGGCTCAACGCAAGTCGACGGCCGGCCAGAAGCCGGACTATTCTCCGTCACGAGTTAGTCCTTTTAGCGTCACAGAACCCCGCTTCCCAGCCTTCTTGTCAGCGCTGTGTGCAATAAAAGCACCGAGGGTGAGTTCCATCCGCAGTGTAAAGCGGAGAAAGCCCACGAGCCACCACCGCAGATTTGAGAATGACATATAGCTTGCATATGGTCACCAGCATACGGGGGTGGGAGGGCCGGAGTCCGGAGTTTTCCAGGTGCGCCCCACCGTTTGCTTCTGCAGGTGAGAGTTGATAGTGTTCCTTTTCAACGCCGTGCAATGAGATTGCACAGCTTAAATCCAAAAGAGCTAATCCTGACGTCAAGATAAACAACTGTCTGCAGAAAGAGATCTTGTCGGGAAACGGAACCAAAGTTCTCCACCGGACAAGCTCATGTGTTTTGAGCTTCATGTCTTGTACGTGACCAGTTCAAAAGCCTTGCATGCGATGCAGTTATACCGGTGTTTGCTCATCCTGCTGTTCCTGCTCTGTCTGAGTGGTGCTCAAATGCTCAAATGCTTCCTGTTGCGCGGCTGAGATAAGCACTAACTGGGCCCTAATCTGCTTCTTGACCTGAGTCCGGAGCGACGCCCGTTTCGAGGAATCTAACGTCCTGCAGGATCCTCGGACCTTCAAGAGGGGGATTTGTAGTTCCTGACAAATTTTGGATCCCAGTCAATAATGCGCGTAGTATATGTCGAATACTCTCCTATGAGCCCCATGCCGTTTGCATATAAAGACGGTTCGAAAGCAACAGAAGAGCAGTCGACCAGTCCCTGGAGCACTCCTCGCGGTTCAAGATGCAACTCACAACGGCCATTCTCCTAGTTGCTGGCTTGAGCACCTCAGTCCATAGCCAGGGCTTTGCAGACGATTGTACCGATATCTATCTCAAGGAAAACTGGCTGGTGGGCACTTGTCCGACCAGCGACGGGAGTGGAACGATCACCAGCAGTGTCTACCTCCCCAACAAGATCACCAACAGCGAAGCCACATTAGCAGTATGTTTCTCCACTTGTTGTTGAAGATCCTAGTCATCAGAGCTTAATATTGACTCCTCAATTTTAGTGGAAAACCGAGTAAGTCCCTCGTCCTGCCCTGTGAGTCGATGTCGAGTATTGAGTGCCGTAGTGGTGTGTATTCGCAGTCTTGCAGCGAATGCATCCTGCTCGATGAGGGGGCGACTCTACAATGCTACTGCAAGTCCACCTACGCTGCGAACAACAAGAACACGACCTTGAACCTGGGTAAGAGGTCTTCCTCCACTGGAAATCACTCCGTGCTGATATTGCCGCAGAGGAGCACATCGCCAACTACGATGGACATCTGCTCTCCAACCTGACCGGCAGCGTCGCCTCCATTCCGGCGGACTCGTCCTGGCCGATCCCCTCCGACTTCGAGGTGCAGCTGCAGGTGTCCAGCTTGAATAACAACTGTTCGACGATCGGTGGGTACCTGACCCTGAACGGTCCGCAGGACTGCTACTATCTGAACCTGGGGGTGGAGTACTACTGGTACGCGGCGACGACGGTCAACAACCTGGGGTGGAAGATTGTGGCATACCACGATAGTACCTGCAGCGGGGATCCGGTGGGCACGTTCACTCCGGAAAATGTGGACACTTGCCTCACCTTTGAGGATGGAGTCTCGGGCTTCGCCGTGATTCCGCTGTGGAATGCCGACTGATGACTGATTCACGGTTGGTCGATGCTTGATGTGTTTGATTTGTTTGCTGTATTTGTTGTGTTTGTTGTTTGCGCAGGTCGGAGCGGATCGGAGAAAGAACAAGTCCGAGTCAGGCTGAGCAAATGTTGCAAACATGCGTCCGGCTCCTCGGCTTTTTCTCCCCCGCTCGCTCGTGGATTCTGAACAACCTCGACCTCCTCATGTAACTATCAAGATATTTTTTCCGTCACAATGATTTGCTTAACTAAATCATCTTGAGCATTTCTTTGCTGACTGCAAATGAAATCATCCCTCTGCATGCTTCATCCACCTCTCCATGATGACTGCAGCGCACCCGGTCGGTGGGGCAAGGGGCCTGGACGTGGGCCTGTGCACTGCCCAAATCCATGGCTGCAATTTGCAGACTCTAATTAAAGCAGTTTGGGTGCCTGCCTGCTTGCCTAGATTTCCAGCCACTGACAGTCCCCTCTTTCGAAGACTAGTGCGCTCCAAGGTTCCCTCGTGTTCACAATTGGTGAGGCTGACTCCATTTTCAGGGTCTTACCGAGCCTCAATACGAGATGGTGCTTGCTTTTGACCCCCCATTAAAAAAGGGGCTCAGCCGCTGAAGATTCATCCATGCCTTTACGACAGTGACCCAATTCATCAGTTGACAATGTCCGACACGAATTCTCCCTGCATAGAATGACTGCCCACGACCGCATCCAGTGGCTGGATGGCCTCCGTGGCATCGCAGCGGCGATTGTGGCCTTTGACCACTACTTCATGAGCGATGTCTGGCACCCTTTCGTCTCCTTCTGGGCCGATCCCCCCGAGGCCAATCGGCACTTGGTGCAGCTGCCTCCCATCCGCATTCTTTTCTCCGCTCATTCGATGGTGACTCTGTTCATGGTGATTTCCGGCTTTGCCATCTCCGTCAGTCTGCTCAAAGCCCGCCACAGCCCGCAGTTTCTGCCGCGAGTGACCTCCGCCATCGTCCGGCGCCTCTTTCGCATCTATCTGCCGGTATTGGTCCTGGCCACCCTGAGCCAGGTCCTATTCTTCTTCGACTTGTACCACTGGACGTTCGATGGCGGGTTTCTCGATGGACTCCAACCCTGGTCAAATCCGTGGGCCCACATCAGGTGGCTGTGTGGCTACATGGCCGATAGCATCAATGTGATCGCATTTGAGTATCGCGGTGGTCTGAACGGCCAACTGTGGACCATGCCGCTCGAATTCCGGGGATCCAACGTGGTGTATCTTTTGACCGTTGGGCTGTCGGCATGGCGTCCCAAGCTCCGACTCTGGACACTGCCACTCCTGGCTGGATTCTTCCTATGGGCTGGCAACTGGGACATTTTCGGATTCATCTGGGGTCTGTGGCTGGCGGAGCGGGCAATGAACACTGCCTCTGCAGCGAACGCGATGGCGGAGGACGACCGCGACGACGAGGAGAAGCTGCCCCGCCCGTCCTGTTCCACCACGCGATGCAGGATCCGATCCTCGCTGCGAAAGCTCTTCACTCTTTCCCGGATGATCACCGTCCTCACCTTTGTGGTCGGATACTATCTCCTCTGCCTCGGCAGCGATGGCCAGCTACCCCCGGGCTACCAGTTCCTCGCTGCTCTCCAGCCTGCCAAGTGGAAGGACAGGTGGGAGATCTACCATTGGTGCTGGAAGTCTGTGGGCGCTGCGTCCTTGGTGTATGCGATCGCCCAGTCCCCGTGGCTGCAACACTCCCTCAACACCCGGCTCGTGCAGTACCTGGGCAAGATCTCCTTCTCGCTGTATCTGCTCCACGAGACCATCTATCAGCTGTGGCGCAATCCCCTGCGAGATTTTGTGTATCTGATGGCGAGCGGGAACCCGTACCTGACTAGTGCGGAGGCCATGCGGGATGATCCGTTCGCGTTCCATGTGGCCTGGTGGGTGTCTGGAATTATCTTGGGGACGGTCGTGGTTCTCGCGTCGCATTACTACACTCTCTATGTGGACAACAAGTGTGTGGCGCTAGCTAAGAGACTGGAGCGATTGCTTACTTCATGATCTTGGGCGGTGAGAAATATTTCCTGAGTTGGAGAACCAGTGGTGTATCCGGTCCGACTCGTCCAGAGTGTCTATATCCCCTCATGCTAACGCAAAGGATTGAGAAATGGAACTTGAGAACTATTGAGAAACATTGCGACTGCTCCAGGGCTCTGTACCGTCCATACGGACCATACATAAGCCAGAAGTGGGCCCGGAAGCCATGAGCATGGATGGATCCATGATTCATGTACTCCGTACTCGAGTACAAAAAGTAAGGTTGCTTACGGTGCTAGCCCGAAGCGGTAAGACGACCCAGCCGCCACCCACGCCTATGGAATTATCCCCCTACTCGTCGTACTCCGTAATCCCGAGTCAGCACTGTTGCTTGCCATAAAACCCGGTTGAGGCCGGGTCATAGCCTGGTGCTGTTGTCTAGGGCTTGCTCTGGCTTGCTCTGGCTTGCCCACAGTGGATGCCTGGCCTGGGAAGGTATAGCAAGAATATACGCCCCCCCTCCCCCGCTCCCAATCCTCTCTCTGTCCTCCTTTCTGGCATTCCCGGGCACACTATTTTCAACTCTCTTCCATATTATTCTTCCACTGTTCGCTTCCTCTCGTGAATCCAATCTTGAATCGCACAGGATCCCGAATCATACAACACCAAGATGCTTGGCGATATTCTCTTCAGCTGGTTATCTTTCTCCAAGCAAAAGCCCACTAACAGCGCTACCTGGGATGCAACCACTGCCTCCATCCAGAACCACCAGTTTACCAGCCCTAGTCCTCCCTCTACTGAGTGCGTGGTCACTGAGCAGCCTGTACGCCATTGCCTGGTCGACGCTGCTGCGAGCAGCCGGGTCGCTTGTTGTTCTTGGGCCTCCTCAGCTAATCCGGGCTTTGCAATATAGGACTTGCAGGAGAACATGAAGCTACGTGGTGGTGATTCTGGCGATGTATGTTGTGGCATGTAAGTAAATGTGTCCAAGCAAGGAGCTTCGCAGTGGCTACATTCTAAAGCTTGGATTTTTCTGACTTTGCCAGCTGCGCCGGTATTCTCTGCTTCGAATGCTGCTGCTAGTTGAATTCACAATCGATGCCATGATTCTCTGCCTTGACGATGGTCGCGAGATGATCATAGCGCACATGCCGAAGACCACGCAATCGTGCTCAAGGGGTCCCTCCGACCTCCATTGCTGGTTCAGTCTCAAGGAAGCAACCCTGATTTAGCGTTACTCTGTGGCCGTCGGTCGCCCAATCGGAAATTCTCGGTTTATTCCCTAGATTACCTACTTTCCATTCCTGCCTCATCATATTCATTTGTGCCTTGACCCTTGTATCTCACCTTCACGCTGTCGCGACAGGATGGAGTGGAGCGCCTTATGAAAAGGCCCTGTAGCCCAGCAGTTCGATTAGTTCTTCCGCGTGTCTTTTCCCTGGTGCATGAGTGCTCTCTTGTCGTAGCAAGGTATCTAAGCCCCGAGCAGCGGTGCTTGCATAGTGCTCGGTCTGTCGTTGCCTAAGATTCAACTTAGGCAACTTGGATCCTATGACCCTGGTCTCAAAAGCACATTATTCACGTGTACGGATAGAGGATTGGGCGGCCTCCTTACAGCAGGAAATACCGCCATATTCGACTGAGAATGGATTCTCAATGCCGAAGAGCCCGTGCTCCTCTTCTGCTACTGCACACAACTCTTCTGGTGTGGCTGCACTCGACATGAACTCGTCTAGCCGGGACAAGTTTGTCTGTTGCTTAATCGGGTTCCAGCGCATCCGCCTTTTCTCCTTTTTGGAGAGGGTTTCTGCCTGGTGGGAGACCCACCATGTGCGGGTTGTAGCAATCTCCAGGTGGTCTCTGCTACTTGGATGTGGCTTAGTGACAGGTTGAATAGAGAATAATGAATAGGCATCTCGACTTGTTCATCATCTATGCTATGCTGCTATTAGCCACTACCGACCCTACCAGAGGAAAGGTCTCAAATGATCAGTATCGGTCTCGAACAAGGATTCGAGCTCTTACCGGAAGTGTCCTTGGTATTCTATTCTAATCCGAGAGGTATGTTTCTTTACCACGGCTACGAGTCAGGTAACCATTACTCCGGTCCATGGTGATTAAACAGGTCATGTTTATCAAATCTCTTGCTTTTGGGAGATTTATCATCAACGATGCAGAGGAAATACATACTCAAGTCCCTCGTTATTTACTGCCATGAATGAATCAGAGGTTTCTACTAGTAATGATTCTCCGATTCAGGGTCTACAGCCTGCATCTAAGCCGCCAACAATCTATGCCCGGGTAGTGCAGGCAATTTGAGACAGGGTCTCCACGCGGATCCACCTCTTTCAAGACATCAATATATCCGCGAGGACCCTGCGGCTCAGTGACAGGATTTTGCCTCAACAGTCGAAGTCACCCATTGTTATTGTTGTAAGCCAACCTAATAGGTGGCAGGGCTTGTACACGTACTATTGGCTTTCGCCAACTAGCTGAAAACATGTATATATTAACGGAAATCCAATAAGAAGCCATTCAGCCACTAGACATGGGAGATATGTAGGTATTTACTGGGAATGTCTGGAACCAAGTAATGATAAGAATAAATGCATATCATACAATGAGTGTCACCTTCCTTGTACTGTACAAGCATAATTTCCTCATATTTAATGCTGCGTCAACCGGAGTTGTCCCTGAATGAGGAAACTGTTTCCGTATCCAAAAGACCTCAGTGGGTCTCGATTGGCTATGATTTAGTGATTGCAGGCTCAGCGACTCTGCACATCGAACAATTCGACCCCGAGCCTCTCGAATACCCTCCACCGCTGCCAGGTGTGAGGTTGTATTCATCAAATGTGTTGTCACTAGCGACTTGAGAACACCGAGAAGGTACTCACTTCGGGGTCGATGGGGGAGGTATAAAGAGGTGCTTGTAGCGCCTTCAACCCTACCTCCCCATCATCAACAGCACCATCCAAATTCCAAAGACTCAAAAACTCAAGACCATTTACAAATATCTTTCTATCAACCTTCAACATGCAGTTCACTTCCGTTATCGCTACCGCCATTCTTGGCTACTCTACTGCCTTGGCTTCTCCCTTCGATTGGAACGATACCGACACCACTACTGGCACCTTGACTGTCACCAATGCTAAGATTGACATCAGCGCCGACAACAAGGTGACATCGGTCACCTTCAAGCTAACTGATGGCGACAAGCATGTGAGCTGCTCGGCTCAGAACCCCAAGCTCACCTACCTGTCCACTGCCGCCACTGCTTGCAGCGACAGCAAGTACCTGTTCAACCTTATTGATTCCGGTCTCTCGAGCTTTGAAGTCGCTATCATGTACTCGTACGGCGATCTGTAAGTATCGACATAGCCTTGAGTCTTCCGTTCTGAGCCGAATGAGACCAGAAAGCCAATGACTGATGGATGTGATAGGGGCTCTGGCGAGTACTCGCCTGGACAATGGGGTGTCGGTGACCTCCCCCTCACCTGCAAGAGCAGCGGCAGCGGCCGTGTCTGCACCTCTTCTGCCCCGAGCACCGTGTTCATCTCGGAACAGTAAACGGTCTTGCCTCTTTCACCGAGCCTGGCAATATAGCCGGCTGCTATCCGACGAAGTCCGACGGAGTGGGGTTCATTTTGGAAATCGGTGTGGGGGATACCTTCGGTTCTTTTCACATCTGCAACCTTGAATGTTCCGCGTCTGGCTACTTGTGACTTACTCCTTTCATTCATTTCTCCTCTTGGCAATTAGTGTAGGAACATGGTCCCCTTCTCGATTGATACAGTTGTGCTGAAATAAAATCCTGTCTACTCCATTCTTGCAAAACCAAGTTACTATGTCCCTCAAGAGCATGCTTCCCCAACAACACCTTAGACGATTTTCTTTTCCATTAGAGTGAGTCGATTACAATCCAAGTCAGCGATCGCGAAACACCGACCAGATTTCCCCAGCAGAGCCCTCCCTCTAGACTCCTTCCCACAGCCCAGCAGCAGAACTTCGTACACCCCCTCCTACTGCGCCGTCCCCACGATGTTGTTGAAGGTAGCATAGTTGACCGTCGAATCCGGCAAACTCTCCTTTTTCTCGGCGCAAGTGACAGAGATATCCAGAGGGCCGTTGCTCCACTTGCCAAGCAGACTCTTGCTGCCCGACAGCTTGGGCGGGACAACGAGCTGGTAGGTGTGGGCGTCGCCGTCGATTTGGGAGACGCGGACGGTCTCGGCGGTGTCCCAGGTGCTCTTCTCCGCTTTGATGTAGGCGTCGATCTTATCCTTCTTGTACCAGATCTCGCCCTCATTGCCGTATGTCTTCGGGATCCAGGCTTTGGTCGCCGCGGCGAACTTGGTCTTGTCGGCGTAGATGACGCAGTACCTTCCCTTAATCAGTGATGGTCGCATGAAGGACAAGGGGAGGGATTCTTTACCAGTCGGTGGCGGAACCAGCCCATCCACCGCGGTTGGCGGTCAGATAAGTGCCCTCGCCCAGTTGGATGTTGGCGCGGTTGCCCTCGTAGGTGAGGGTGCCAGCTTTGTTGTACTTGGCGGCTTGGTCCTGGTAGGTTTGTCAGATTAGCTCCATGGCAAGTGGGAATGCGGACAGATCTTCAAGCGTCGTACCTTGCTCACGGTGCGGTAGCCGATGATGATGTTCGATGCACGCTCCTGCAGGGCTCGCTCCTCCACTGCGGCGGGGGCAGCAGTCACCGAGCTGGCCACGGTCAGGGCGACGGCAAGAACGCTTCCGATGGAGAGCTTCATGTTGGAGTTGAGTTAAGTATAAAAAAGCGGATTGAAATAGTGGAATGAAAGAGTGACGGTGATCCACGCAGTGGAGCTGTAAAGGAGTGACTGTGATGCTAGAAGCTGGGAGATGAGATGAATGTGCGATAGATTGAACCTCAGCCGAGACGCATCTGGCGGTCTTTATATGTCTGTTGCCCAGCACGACACAGGGTCTGCGGTTGTAGCTCCGTTGAAGTTGTATCCGGTGCAGCAGAATGTCTCTCAAACGGCCCCGAGGATTGGGGGCCAACGACCCTTCGGCCCCCGACAGCTGCATCGGCGCGCCTTCAGGGCAGATTCCGGCTGGACAAACCGTCTTCCGAGCTGACAGGGTTTAATCTATTTATGCAAGGGGCCACACTTGCTCTGCGTTGAATCTCAGTCCTGCCCGGATGATGCTCTTGCTGCAAGGTGCCTCGGATGCAGTGGCTCGGCAGGAGAGTTGACCGAGTTGTATCATGCTGGCTGAAAGCGCGAGTGAGAGACCTCGCTCCATTCCGGCTCTAAGTAATTTTTTATCGTCTACAAAGCTCAGGACTCTCTTGGATTGTGTTGACTTTTGAGGCGAGGTAAGCAGGCTGTTGAGTGGTAAGGCCAGTAGCTTGGGGCTAGTCCCCAAGACCTTGGCGGATGGGGGTCGCGGAGCAAGCCAAGCCATCAGGGTCTTTTCAACCTCGTATTCAGACTAATTCAGGTAGTCACAGTCGCATTTGGGGTGAAAGTAGCATGAAGGAAGGATGATGATCAATCCATGATCACGCTTTAGGCACCTGGAAACATCCCCGTCCCAATCGGGCTAGCCTGTCAGCCTGTCAGCCTTACTGCCTCCGCCTTGAGGCATCCACGCAGCGGTGCAGGCCACTTAGCACTACCGTACTATACACAATTTCCAGTCCCTTTTCTGGACAGCTGTGTAGGGAATCGGGGATAGCTGCTGGGGATATGTCTCGGGGAGGTTTCGATTGTCGGACATATTGAACGACACTGCTGTACCAGAGAGCTTTGATTTTACCCCAGTACCAGTACGGTATATACATGGCGAGGATATATTCTCCCGCTACGTTTTGGTCATACCACTACCTTCTGGTCTGGTACTCAGCCCTTGGTGCTGTAGAGTACCTGCCAACCAACTAGCTCTTGCCTCTTTCACAAACCGTCATCTACTTGAGATGTTTCATTTATGTTAAGAAAGCATGGTGCATGAGGTGGACCGAAGGGCCGAGAGCACGTGACTCGGACTTAGTGGATGACTAACGCCGGGCCGGGGCCGGATTTCTCTTCAATCCAACTAAACCGTCACCACAACACCTCCCCGTGTCTTCCAACCCAGCTGCATCACGTACATGGACTCTCCTTCACCCCAGTCCTTACGGCGCAACGGTCGACGGCAAGCCTGCGAGCCATGTCGCAAGCTCAAGACGCGATGCGACCACGCGTGGCCCAAATGCGGCCGTTGCACCGCCAAGAACATCGTTTGTGTGTATCTGGTCGCCCCAATGACCAAGACATTTCGCCCCTTTCACCGTGGCCCTGAAACCATCCAGGCGAGGTCGCGGAATGCGTCCTCCGTGTCACTGCGAGTATTGTCTGGTCTGGTGCTTGTCCCCTTGAGCGCGGAAGCTAAACGTCCAGCCACAGAGCCACTTCGAACTCGTCGCCTGAGGCCACCACTCGCGATGCCTTGCCCGCCCAGCCAGTCGTCGTCAACACCCCCTCGATGGAGAGTACCGGCTTTCTGGGCCCCACGAGCTATCGATACCTTTTGAGGGAGAGCCAAGGCGCCTCCGATTCGTCTTCAGAGTTGGGCAAGTACACCATTGAACCCAGACAGCTTGAGCTGGGATTGCGGATCCTGGACTTCTTCGGTCGAGAGTCCCGCCTCCTCAAGTGTCTGACTGAGCACATCTATGGCCTGAGTCGGATGCCCATCATTCCCCGCACAGTAATGCTGCCCGCGCTGAGCCATCTCTGGGATATTTGGGACCAGCACTCCATGGGCGATGATGCTGCCCGTCTGCGCATGGTGGTTCGGATCTTCGAAAACACCTACAAACCCCTCACCACCTCCCATAAGATGAGAGCGGCTGATCTGTGCCAGGCTATCACTGGAGTAAATCTTCGGTGGGAGCTGATCGGCGCCGTCATTACACTCGCGAGTCTGGCGTTGATCCATATCCCTGAGCACACGGTGACACTGATCGACGCCCAGCAGCGCGGAAAGAGTGAGATTCTGCCCCAGGTTCTGGAGATCACCGAACACCTGTCGCTTCTGACCGACGCCCTGCCGCTGGTCAACGAATTACTCGTATCCCTCAAGTACTACCAGATGCTGCTTGCTGTCAGCCGATTTGGCGATTCCAGTCAGTTCCCTGGCTCTGGCATGACACCGACAACATGTGGCTAATACGGATATAGGTCGCAGGCTGTATTCGTCGCTGGGAGAGCTATGTTCCTGTATATATGCGACCGGTATGCATCGGAATGATGTCCCGCGAGAGCAAACGCCAGTCTTTGTTCATCAATGGCGCAGGGCATGTCTTGCAGTGGTGTACACCATGGATAAAACCATCGCGACGGCCCTTGGTCGCCCGCCACTGATGAATCGGCACTATTGCATATTGGAACCTCCGTTGGATCTTGATGAGGATCCCGACCCCGACGAGCACGAGTCAAGTCTTCGATCGATCGACGAACACGGGTGGAATGTAGATAGAAAGCATCGACCCGCGACAACGATACGGCTACGGCTTCTACTTGCCAAGATCCGCGAGGAAATCTTGGAGCTGCATCTGGGGGTGACCGGTGCCAATCTGGTCAGACAATCTGAGTACGTTCGGCGAGGCGCTTGGTGGGTTAGACAGACGACTGATTTTCTTTTAGAGATGTGTTGCAGAGGCTGGCGGTCATGTGGGATACCTGTCCAAGCCATATGAAGTACTCGGTGGACATGTGGCATGCCCCCACTTCGATGCACAGCCATCAACTTTTGGTCCTCCTTACGCTCAATCTAGATTATCTACATTCAATCTTCTTGTTACATCGAATCATCTCAGGCGACCGGTCCACGAATGTTTTCATCGTGGCCAAGGACATTCTAAGCACCATCCTGGTGATTAACGACGAGCGCGAGCGACTCCGAGAGATTCGGAACGACTTCACCCATCTGGTATGCCTCTCGCCTCTAGTCGTCCAGCTAGATGCAACCGAACACTAACCAGAGGAACAGTTCCTTCAATACGGCCTTCCGAGTGTTCAGCTCCTCTGCACCGAAATGCTGCACCGCTCTTCGATCTCCCCTTTGACGGGTGTTCCGGGCTTCTCTCGGGCGGAGCTGATCCGGGAATTGACGGTGTATGTCTCCTGCCTCAGTTGGGTTGCCCGACCGGGAAGTGGGAACTTCGAGTTCTGCAAACAAGTCAAAGCCAAGTTCACGCGGATTCTGGATGAGATTATTGATCCTAGCTATGCCACCTCGAGGGAGTCAGTTGCGCCGAGTGAGACGGCAAGTGCACCTGCAGGAGCGAGCGGTATTCCAGACTTGCTCGATCCGGTCCACAACTTTAATACCTTGCTGGACTGGGACATTGACAGTTTCTGGGATCCGCGACTGGACATCTTCTGTGGGTCTGTATTCTAGTTGCAAAATGCGCATGCTGCAATCGCTCCTCGGACTGCAAGCCGAGGTCAACGGTTCTCCGACTCTCCGATTACGTATTCCCCGCTCCTGCCACGTGACCCTCTTGCTTCCCCTCACTCTCCGCAGCCGGTGACAACGGTCGGTCTTATTGTTGTGAGCCATTGCAGACTGCCCATCCATCACTATGGCCAAGACTCGCGTACTTCTGCTAGGTAGTGGAGGCATTGGCACCATTGCTGCCCTCAATCTGGAATACGGTGGGCAAGCCGAAGTCACCGCCGTTCTTCGGTCCAATTTCCAGACTGTCACCGATCGGGGATTCGAGATCCTTTCCTGTGATCATGGCCACATACGCAACTGGCGTCCAACCTCCGGTATATAGTGTGACCAACCTAGATCTCTCGATGGCGATACAATACTGATCCTATACCCAGTCGTCAACGCGGTCCCCGTGATCGGTTCCGGCGATGTGGCGCCGTATGACTACATCGTCTGCACCACCAAGAACATCCCCGATATCGGCCCCTCCATCTGCGACATCATCACTCCGGCAGTAACACCCGCGCAGACCGTCATCGTGCTCATTCAGAACGGACTGAATATTGAAAAGCCGTTTGCCGAACGCTTTCCGGCGAACATCATCCTCTCGGGAATCAGCCGCAACGATGCGCACGAAATCGCCCCGGGTCTGATCGAACAGATTGATCATGACAACCTGCAGATCGGCGCCTTTTGTGGTCCTCCTGACCGGATTGATGCCCAAGAAAATGCGGCGATTCACTTCGTGGAAATCTACAGCGCCGGAGGCAAGACCAACTGCTATCACGAATCGAACGTGCAGCGAGAGCGGTGGCGCAAGCTGGTCTACAACGCGGCCTTTAATCCCATTTCCGCGCTGACGGCACTGAGCACCGGTGACCTCCAGATTGCTGGCAACGCACTGGATACATTGCTAATTCCTGCGATGACCGAGGTCCTGACGGTCGCACATGCAGCCGGCATTGACCTCCCTGAAGAGACCATCGCCACAACACTCGCGAAGAACCCTCCAGAGAGGAAAATCTTTCCCAGCATGCAGAAGGATATAACAAAAGTGAGTCACCATTAAGCCTGCAAGGGAGGTAGACATCAACTCATGTTTTCCAGGGCAACTTCCTGGAGCACGAAGTGATCATGGGCGAGGTGATTCGCGAGGCACAGAGCAGGGGGATCGCCACACCCATCCTGTCCACCCTTTACCAGTTGTGTGCCTGTGTTCAGTGGAGAATACAAGCCACCAAGCCAGCGACTAGGCAGAACTAGGAATGTGGGCTCGAAGGATTCGCATGGATGATCGCAATAAACCTACTCCCCGGTCGCAACGGGCCGCGTCCGCAGCTCCGTAGCCCAGACAGTCCATTTTCCATTCACGGACATCATACAACCAGTTCATCTATGGATATCGTTCCCATGGCGGATTAGGCCTTATATTATGTCCAGCATTTTCAGTATTCGATGCCTCCGAATCAGGTCGGCCGCGCGTTCAGCCACCGCATAAATGGTGGCCTGGATATTCCCAGCCGGCTCTAGGGGAAAGATACCGGCATCGACCACGCGCAACCACGCTGTAGGTTTGGGCAATACGGACCTGGAGCCACCGCCTCCCACTTCGCCGTCCTGTAGCTACTAGGTAGTGTCTAAATAGAGTCATGTCGCTGGATTCATTCCTCTGTCGCGCTTCGGCGGAGGCCAACCTCTATCCTGCAAATACGACCGTCCTACTTGAGTGCCTGGACCGCACGACCAACCGAATTTCCTTGACTAGTTATAAGAAGCACCCCCGGAGCACCACTCTAAAGCATATTTCTAAGTAAGTAAAGTGTCAAAGCATCTCTAAGTATTATGTCAAGTCACCGGAGTAGAAAGGCATTTCCTCACACACTTTTCTGGGCTTTCTCCAAGTTAGGGGCATGAAAGATTGACTCACACATGGGTCAATTACAACAGGTCTTAACTTCAAAAGGTCTGATGAGACAAATCTCTACGAGGACATTCGAGATTTAGATCACGAGACCAGCGTTCGATTCGATATCATCCTTCATAAGTTAAGAACCCAACCTCTTCTATTGCGAGGCCTACTTCATCCTCACGATGATATACTACTAGCTAGGTGACAAGCTATTGACAAGGGGGGACTAGAACGGGTTGCTTGAAATTCATATCGCAGGCTCAAGTGGTAATGATAAGTAGTACAATCCTGCACTTAATTGCGCAAGCAAGGAGTAGTTACATGAAGTGGAAATGATCTCGACGTTCGCACTCATCCGTACCAGTGCAAATAATGACAGATTACCTCAACCCAGGCAAGTGTTTAGGATCTGATGCACGGGCAGAGGGCAAAAAAAGGTTGTCTCCCGTTTCGACAGGAAGAACCACCAGAGAGACGAAACAACAAATGCCACCAAGGAGACAGAATAGAACCATTGGAGAATCACTCAGGAAGTACGGGCGGAGAACACCATCATCCCTCGGCCATGAGCTGGAGGGCAGTGCGGCTCGAGAAAATGGCGCGTCTGAGCACCGGTCAACCCTCTAACCGTCATGTTCCACCACGCAGTATTGTCCTAACAAGCGCCTAGAGTTCCCTATCCGTGGAATCAGCTGACGTCTTTGCTAGCAATGTTCATTCACTGGTCTTTGAGTAGTAGAAAAGATGACGCGTGTATCATTCACCTATAGTGAGTCACGTGCTATATCAATGAACTCCCCTTCTGATTCTACTCCTCGTGCGACCGGTGATCCCCATGCAATGAGACCTCAGAATCCTGCCCCCGGCTGCCACTCTTCGACGAGGCCTCCAGCCGCGTCAACGGCAGTTCGCTTTCGGTGTCACGCATGCGCTGGAACGCCCGCGCCGATGCCCCGGACTGCGCCCCCGTCTGGGACGAGTACGCCGCTTTGGCCGACGAGAAGACACCGGGACAGGCGGCCTTGAAAACCGGGCGCATCATGGGGACGCAGGCGTTGAGGATCGCGAGGGCAGGTTCAGCGACACTCCAGAAGGCCGCCCAGATCATACTGTACGAGAGGTCGGCGAAGTTGACGGTCGTGAGGACACGGATGCGGATGATGGTAATGGCGGAAATGCTGGCCCGTCTGTCAATTCTCCGAGCGTGGACTATCGTTGGACGAGGGCGGGCGACTTACAAGAGTCCCATTCCAAATATACCATACAGCGCCAGCTTGGTGGCCGTCGAGGTCTGCAGCTTCCAGATGTGATGCACGGGCAGAGCCATGATGACCAGGTCGGTAACAAGATTGAACGCGCCGATCGTCGAGAACGCCACGTTCATGCTCGCGCAGTGGCCGGGAAGCGTCGAGTTCCAGTTCTTCTCGAAGGGCTGGCAGATCAGGAAGATCTGGAGCATGCTGCCCACCCAGTAGGCCGCCGCGCAGCCCATGCACACCCGCGCGGCGATGCGGAACCCGCGCGTGACGAAGATGCGGAGGTAGAAGAAGAGGTAGGAGAATTTGGCGAGCACCATGCAGTTATAGTAGACGATTTGATAGACGATGAGCATCTGCGCGCGTCAGTGACCGTTGCCATTGCTCGGACCTGAACGTCCAACCCACTTTGAAGATGAGGATCGCGTTTTCGGCGGGGATTGCGGTGATGGGGTGGCGCATTCCGACCCGCGCATAGTGGTAGTGCATGGCTAGCATGCCGTAGGTGTTGAGCTGTCCGCGATGCAGTCCGTCAGTTCGCATGTCCATCATAGAGTTCTCGAGGGCCTCGTACCATTGACCCGACAATACACACATCATCCCACCAGATCTGGCTGCGTCGGATTCGCCGCGAGATGAAGCGTAGCACAATCGCCAGAGTGCTTACGGCCACCAGCACCGTGTTGGCGATGAGCTGGTCGCGCACTATGGCATATTCGAAGACATTATAGAACTGCATGGCCATGCGAACTCCTGGGTGCCACGCATGATGGATGACTGGCAAGACCGAGAGAAATCCACCCCCATCGCGGCCAGGAGTCGAGCGGCAGTTCGGTACTTGAAGAGAATCCGCGAAGATGCACGTGCGAAAATAACCCACGATGGGGGGCCAGACACCGATGATCATTGCGTTTTGCATCTTTTTTTTTGGCACCACAAGCGAAATCCACGGACATCCACCGAGGACGGTTCGGTCCTGCGAGTCAGCCAAGTGGAGCCCGGCACTGGCGGATCGTCGCATGGCACAACGGTTTTTGGCAGAGATTGGCATGGCTAAACATGGCTAGACATGCCTAGACATGTCAAGGGGCAGAGCCAAAACCACCGGCGCTGTCAACCCAGTCAACCATGTGGATCGTCCGTTCGTCCCGCAGCCAATCCCAGCCCTAACAACCGCTGCCAAAGTCACCAACGCTCCCCAAAGGCGTTGCCCAGCGTTGCCCAGCTCCACCACGCCATGTCAATCTCAATCCTAATTCTGTCTGCCGCCCGTGACAGCGCCCCATTTTTCTTGATCCTGTACTTGCCTGCACTTGCCGGCTCGGGCTTCGTTCGCCCCTTAGTCTCGGCGACGTAGCAGGTATTTCATGCTCCTCCCCCTGCAGCGGTTCCTTTCCCTCGGGCTTTCCTCCCAGAATGCAAGCTGACTTCTCAACGATAATGACTGCCGCTAAACCCCATGACTACGTGATTGTCGGAGCGGGGACGAGCGGGCTGGTGCTCGCCTCCCGACTCACTGAGGACGCCGACGTCAACGTGCTCCTGATTGAGGCCGGGGCCAACCGCATGGGCGATCCGCGCATCGAGACCCCTGGATTTCTGAGCACGTTGTATGGGAACCCCGAGTTCGACTGGGATTATATGAGTGAGCCGCAGGTGTGTAGCAGTACTCGTTCTCTGCTTCGCACTCTAATGTATGCGTATTGACAATCCTACAGGTCCATGTGAACAACCGGCAGATCGCCCAGCCGCGCGGCCGGGTAGTAGGGGGCACCTCAGCCATGAACTTTTCGGTGGTGATGTACCCCTCCGAAAGCAACTTCGCTGCCTGGAAGGCGCTGGGTAACGAGGGCTGGGGCCCCGAGGACATGGCGCCCTACCTCCGCAAATTTCACACTTACACGCCCCCCTCAGAGGCGACGTCGACCCTGCTGTCGCTGGAGCGCTACATGAGTCCGGAGAATCAGGGGACCAGCGGGCCGGTTCCCATCACTCTGCCGGATGTTTATGGGCCGTTCAACCAGGCCTGGGATGAGGCCTTTGCCCGGTTGGGCTGGCGCACAGATGCGGATCCCATCGCCGGTCGCAAAATTGGCGCTTTCACCGCACCGTTGACGGTCGATGGGAAGACCGGCCAGCGCGGGTATGCGGCGGCGTACTACTCACCGGAGGTAGCGCAGCGGCCGAATTTGGAGTTGTTGACGGAGACGATGGTGGAGAGGGTGTTGCTGGCAGAGGTGGACGGCGAAGTAATCGCAACCGGTGTGCAGGTTAGATGCAAGGACGGTGAGCGTCGGGAGATTGCGGCTGCACGAGAAGTCATTCTTTGTGCAGGCAGTTTTAATACTCCCCAGCTGCTGGAGTTGTCCGGTATCGGCCAGCGGGAGTTGCTGGAGAAGCACGACATTCCAGTCGTCCTCGAGCGGCCCGGAGTGGGAGAGAATTTGCAGGATCACTGTTTGGCGAGTATCAACTTTGAAGTAGCAGACGACCAAATGTCCGGCGATATCATGCGGGATCCGAACGTAGTACAGTCGTTGGTCCAGCTCTACGAGCAAACGCGCGGAGGCCCCTTGTCCGGCATGCCCATCAGCATGGCATATTTGCCAATGGTCGACCACGAGGGCCAGCTCTCGCGTGACAAAGTCGACGAGTTGCTCTCCAAGCACCTCGATCACCAGGCGGCGGATCTCCCGCCCGCGCAGCAGAAGCAATTCGCGCTGCAGCGCGAGCTGCTCCAGGCCGGTCACAACGCCTCCTCGCAGTACATGCTCATGCCGATTCAGACGCACATGCTCCCCGGCGTCACCACGCTCGCTGACGTCCTGGCCAAGTCGCTGCCGGGCAACTATCTCACCGTTATGGTCCTGCACAACCACCCCTTTTCGCGTGGCTCGGTGCACATCTGTTCCGCAAACGTGGAGGACAAGCCCGTCTTCGACCCCAACTACCTCTCCCACCCGCTGGATCTCGAAATTCTGGCACGACACGTCCAGTTCTTGGATCAGATCGTCGCGACGGAGCCGCTTGCGAGCATGCTGAAGCCCCAGTCTCGGATTCCCCAGGGGGTCGTCGATTACAGCGACCTCGAGAAGACTAAAGAGGTGGTCAAGGAGCGTCTCTACACCTGCTTCCATCCGGCAGGCACCTGCGCTATGATGCCAGCAGAACTGGGAGGTGTGGTCGACTCGCAGCTGAAAATCCACGGTACTCGGAACCTGCGCGTGGTTGATGCCAGTGTCTTCCCCTTAGAGCCGGCGGGGAATATCCAGGCCACCGTTTATGCGGTCGCTGAAAGGGGCGCCGATCTGATATTGGGTCGCGCGATGTTACGTGGGTGAAGGAGACTATCAGGGTCACAAACCTAGACAACCTAAGTGAATGAGAAGATCAGGGTCACGAACATAGACAAGTGAACGAGACTATCACGGCGTAGGATGCAAGTAATTGCTGAATGCACAAAGCCTGTGCAGCTGACCACTTTCTTCTTTTTTTCTTTTCTCTGTCGCCCTGCCTCACCCCGGCCCTCCTCTCACCTTCTTGCTTCATCTTCGGCTCGTTCGCAAATTCTTCGTTACTCAGCGTTCCTCACTATTGATAAGTCCAAGGTCTTCATACAAGCTACATCCCTCGTTTCGGTCGCAGCGGCAAAAAAGCATTAATTATGGCTACCACAATGGCTCAAGCGCGGCCGGCGTCTGAGATCACCGCGCAGCCACTGCCACAAGTCTCCCTTGGGCCGGGGACAACTCGTTCCAATGCCTTGCACGCGCTCTTGTTTCAGGCTGATATCAAACCCTGGTCAGTCTTCACAATGAACGTCCATGATACCTTCCGGAACCACAACTGGCTTCAGGTCGCCGAGCCACTGAGCCTGATTGAACTGCCACCGCAACAGGACCTGATGAATGACGACCACGTAAGGGTCAGCGATGAGCACGGCCTCCAGGGGAGATGGAACCAACATTTGGGGCAGGCAATGGGTGCGGTCTTTTATTCACAGGACTTCGACGTCAGATTCGGAGATTTCAAATGCTGCCGAACTAAGTACTCAAGGACCCCCGATTTCGCACTCATTAATTCTTGCGGAGATTTGCTGGTAGTGGGTGAGATGAAGGGGTTGCCGCTCATCCTCGATCTACATTCAGGGGTATATATGCAATGATGCCCGTTCGGAGGATCAATTGCTCTGCTATCGTGCGACAACAAGGTTTACCAAAGGCCCCGGCACTCTGGTGATGTGCGAGTGTGGTCATCCTTCTCAATCATCTATAATCGAGTAATGAACTACCTGCAGCCAACTGCGGTGTCGATTACCAGTACAAGGAATAGGTCGATATAGAACTTTTTAGGTGTCTTTCATTAAATTAACTAGCAGGGAGCTGCCAATCTCGTACGCGTCCGAGCACATTCTAACGAGTCGCTCTTGCTCCACAAGCCATTCCAGAGAGCAAGCTGTCGACGCTCAGACATTGCAAGGGTACGTGGCAATAACCGTGATTTTGGTACAGCCTCTCATTCAAGACCACCCACAAGCAGCCCGGTATCCGTGTCCATCATTTCCGTTCCAACCCTACAAGGAACATTAGCCTGAGCCTAAACAGTTTCTGGATACACCACGGAAGAAAGCTCACCTGCAAGCGATTGGCGATATCACTGACGTACGACCCGGTGGCATCCTGGGGATCGTCCAGATCGTTGAAGTTGATGCTGCCCGAGTTGTAGCCACGGAGCACATTATACGGGTTTCCGCCCGTGTTGGCACCGACATTATCGTTGTTGAACCACTGGACAAGACCTCCACCCGCGGCGGTGCCCTGGGTACCGTCCACAATCATCTGGGTGATGCTGCCCTGCGGGTCGTTGGCGTCGAAGGAGGTGGAGCCGGCGTAGGCCTGCATCAGGCCGCAGTTTTCGACCCCGTTGTTGGTGCAGCCGACGTAGACGTTGCCGCTGGACTAATCGTGAGAAAACTTGGTTAGTGATGAAGTCAAGAATGTTCACCTTGAAAGAACACGTACCTCCTGCATCACAACAGCCAGAACCAATCTCGGATCGACCTTGGCATCGGCCGAGACCTGCGTAATGGCGTTCCAGATATCGCCCTGGATGGGACCATCCTCGACTAAGGCCATCGAGGTCTGCTGGTTCAGGTCGAACATCTCGGTGAAGCCCATCCAGTTCGCGAAGGGGGGGAAGTTGGCTGCGGCGCCGCCAAAGCAGTAGTAGTACTCAGGGTCCTCGTAGGCTGTGGCTCCGTCGGTCAAGGACGAACTGTACCAGTTGAGCCCATTGCCGGTCACCGCAGGGCCATTGCTGGTGCTGCTGCCACTGCTACCAGTGCTGCCACTGCTGCTACTACCACCCGACGAGGTCGCGCCATCGGCACTGTGCAGATAGGCAGCAACCACGCCACCCCAGCCACCCGAGTTGGCAGCCTCAGTCGCCGCGTCGACCTTGTTCTCCTTGACGATATTGGTGATGGCCTTGACGTTCGTGCCGTACAGATAGACACTGCCCTCACTGGACAGAATGCGGATCGCATTCGCCTGGCAATCACCCGTGCAGCTGCCGCCGTGGTTGAAGAACACCCAGACACCGCCGCCATACAAAAACAGATTGCTCGATCCGCGGATGCGCTCGAAGAAGGCCATGCGGCAGCCGACGTCGTCGGCGTCGCACTCGCTGAAGGTGGGGTCACTAGCAATGAGGTTGTCGGTCCAGGGGGCGGGGGCGATGCCGGAGCTGGGGGCGCCCCAGCCCTGCCAGTAAGGAGTCTCACTCTGCTGGAAGGAGCTGAGGACGTTGGACGCGTACTCGAAGTTGTACTGGTACAGGGTGTTGTGCTCCATGGCGGTACCGACGAGCCAGGTACCCTTGGTGGCCTCGACGAGCATACCGCGGCCGGTCGAGACGGTGGTGGTTTCCAGGTTGCCGTCGAGGTTGTGGTCGGCCGTCCAGCCCCACATGTTCTCGATGTAGGCCGAGGAAGTCGCCGTCAAGTGGAGCAGGCCCCATGCGGCCTTGCAGATGTCCGGGTTGCCGTAGCAGTTGGTCTGCACCTTGCTGCCGGCGGCGCCGCCAATCCGGAAGTGCGAGTTCCACAGACCCACGGCTCCCGGTGTCGAGCCGGCGATGTTGACCTCCACCAGCTTGCAGCCCTGCAGCACGTCCGCAACGGTGAAGAGCATGTCTGAAATCTGGGCGGTGCCCACGTCACCGGAGTTACCGACTTGCACCATGGTCGTGGGGGCATCGGGGTTGTAGAAGTTGCCGCCGGTGGCGCTGATGGCGGAGGCGTAGGCGTCGCCGATGATGATGGAGCCCGAGGGGATCAGGATGGTGTCGGTGACAATATAGGTCCCGGCGGGGAAGTAGATGATCTTGCAGCCGGCGTACTGGGCCAGGATGGCGTTGATGTTGGCGGTGTCATCCGTCGCGCCGTCGCCGTACACAGGGAGTCCGGAGACGCTCTTGATGTTGATGAACTGGTTGGCCGAGTATTGGGAGTAGGTGGGCGGAGCCATGGTGAAGTATTTGCCGTTGGAGTCGAGGAGGACGTCGGCACGCGCGGTGGTCACGCTCAGCCCCTGCTCGTAGGCGGGGGAGGTCGCGCCACCGGAGTACAGGTTGCCATGGACCCAGGTGTTGGTGACGGAGCCGGTCAGGACGGCGTTGCCGTTGAGCGAGACGGTGCTGCCGCTGTTGGTGCAGGCGACGTTGTCCAGGATGATGGAGTTCTGGGCGCTGCCACCGGCGTTGGAGGAGATGATCATGTTGCCCAGGTAGTTGGCCGTGGAGTCGATCACCGTCAGGGAGCCGGAGATGCTGCTGGCGTCGATACCGGTGGCGCCGTTCTGGAATGTGCAGTCCTGGCAGACGAGCTCGAAGGCCCCGGCCTTGATACCGACGTTGGCGCCGTTGATGTTGATTCCCTTGAGGATCCACTGCTGGCCGCTCAGCTCCATGGCGATGGCACCGCCGTAGAAGGTCAGGTCATTCTGCGCAGGAGATGGTCAGTTTTGGGGCATGAGGGTTAGATCAGTGGTGGGACGCACCAGAATGATGTTACTGTTCGAATCATACTGACTCGTCACACCCACGTGGTTCGAGTTGTCGGGCATGTTAAAGACCACGTTGGTCAGCTGGGTCGCCTGCGAGACGGTCCAATCCAGCAAAGTGATGGCAGTCGAGGTGGAAACGCTGGTCGAGTCAATAATCACGTTCTTAAACGCAATGTAGAAGTTGATGGTTCCGCCCAGGTTGGGATCCTTGGCGTAGACAATGTGGTCGGTGGGAAAGCCGGCGCTGGCCTTGAGAGTGGGCGGATTCAGAGCATCTCCCACCAAGACGGTGCCCACGTAGAGCTGGAGGGGGTGGTCGAGTCGGTACGTGCCGGCCGGCAGGTAAACCACGGCGGGCTGGCCGGTGGTGCCCATGGAGCCGCTGCTGCGGTCAGGGCCATTGGAGGCTCCGGCTGCTGGAGTGTCAGTAAAGTGCATAAGTCGTTGCATGATACGGGCGACGTACCTTTGATAGCATTTTGAATCGCAGTCGAAGCATCGGTGGCACCGGTGTTATCGGCGCCATAGTCGGTGACGACGTTCCGGAAGACCTTGTAGTTGGCCTTGTAGGAGGAGTCGAGGAAGGAGGACTCGCCGTTATGAGTGATACTCTCATACCAGAACGTGCTGGGGCTGTCCGGGGTGGGACCGCCGCAGCTGGCTCGCTTCTGGTGGGGATAGGTCAGGTTGCCCCCGTGCGAGTGAGGGGAGACAGGGTTCCAGGGCTGCGCGGTCTTGTTCTGGATCACAAAAGGAATGCCTGCCTTGATCGGAACATAGTCCGCGGACGGAATCCACTGCTCGACATCGAAGGAACTATAGTTAGTAGGAGAGATAAAAGATTGCGATTGCGATTGAGATTTCAAAAGAGAGCCAGCAGGAAGTGCTGTGGAAAGACAAGCAAAAGAAAGACTAGAGGTCAGAAGCCAGCTGAGCTTGGCCATGGTGAAGGAAGGACTGGGGGTAAAAGAATGACAGTGGATGACCCTGACTCCCATCTGAACTCATGGGGTTGAGGGTGCAGTTTATATACACTCGCAGCCCTACCAGGACTGTTCGTTGAGGGCTCGTTGAGGGTCCATCTAGGGTCCATCCAGGGTCCATCGCAGCTGAAGGTGTATACGACCAGTTTCCCTTTCCAGGCAAGCTGAAGTCCTCACAGAAGGCGAATTCTCCATGGTGGTCAGCTCATCAAGCCCGGAGTCCCAGGAGATTGGAGCAATGCGACATTGCAATTTCGGTTAAAGACCGTGAGGAATCTTCAGATGGTGTTTGCTTCATTAGCCCTCAGATCGCGTGCGGACTAGCGTGAAGCAGTGCGGATTGGCCTTGCACAGCACCAATCACTCTTCCTCACCCCGTTCGCGGCTGAATCAGGCTTTAGTCTTGAATAGTAGATAGTCAGATAGCCCTACCTGGTTCTGGTAAGGTATGATCCTGATTAGTATATTTCTGCCCCACTGTGTCGACGCCTTCACCCTTCAGCTCCCCCATTGGGTTGGTCTGAAATTTGTGCATGCCTAGGGATTCACTTAGTGAGTTTAGTGCCTGGTACCTGACTCTGCAATAATACATTCATAATTACTGATTAGTCTGCCTAGACCCACTTAGTGCAGGCCTCCAGCGCCGCCGTTGGGCGGCAGTGAGACACACACAATCTAAGACTTCGTGTTGAAATTACCACCCGCCTGTCAATAACCTCAAGATGAAGTCCCCTGAGCGGCAACCGGATGATGGCAACCCAGGATGCTACCACCTGTTGAGCTTGAATCAACGCAGCCATTGCGAGTTTGGTTGTAGTTGATGGACAGGTCTGGTGACTAATCCGCACCAGGACTCAGATATTAGCCTGGCCCGTGCATACGAGCCTCGCCCCACTGCATCCCCTGGGTCAATCACTACGGAGTAGACAAGCATCGATTGAGAGGAGTGGACTGGCGCAGAGTAAGGGGCATCCGCGTGCTACCGGAAAGAAGAAAGGAGGTGCATGCAGTCTGAATGCAGCCGCAGAAGTGTCAGAAGATGCCAGGGGTCCCCACCATCGCATGAATTGGCTCAACAGGTCGAAGAACCACGTACACTGGCACTTATTCCTGAGGCAGGTTCTTGCTAGTCGCTGTCTCTGTGCCACTGTCACCGGTCCCGGGAGAACCCTACATCAGACGTCTCTTACTGTGCTCTTTTCTGTCGAGAACAGCTGCGATGATTGGAAAGATAATCTCTGCCTGGTATAAACTACCTTCCTCTACAGGTGACGAGCATCGACCGACCGACCCATAGTCTGAAACACTGAGGCTGACAAGCACTGCGACCTGCCCCACGCATTACCTGGCACATGGCACGCCACACATACAAGTGCCGCAGCAGGACTCCCGACTTGGCACCACGGACCACGCATGATTCGGTGATAAGCCAACTCAGTAAGTGCTGAGGACTTGTTAGCTCGGACTGCCAAAGCAGTACGTAGATCACAGTACGGAGTAGTAGCCAAGCAGTCGACTCATTCGAGCCGTCTTCTGGAGACTGGTCATTTAAGCCACCATTCTGTGAGTGAAATTATTACCCAATGTCGTGGTCATTTCTTCGGAATATACATTTCAATTCATCCAATCATGTCTGCCGCTACTCTCCGAGAGGGTAACAATGCAGAACTTGTCCCGCTGCGAAGACATTAGTAACAGCCCCGAGTCTTCATAGAGCAAGGATCCAAAGTGACTCACAATAGAAAGACGCGTCCTTGCTAGCCAAGAACACGAAACTCGTTGCCACCTCAGAGGGCTGTCCCGGACGGCCCAGCGGCTTGCCGGACGCCCATCCCTCCATGGACTCGGCATCTCTGGTATCGATTTGGATGGGGGTATACACGGAACCAGGTCTGTCGCCACCATTAGTCCAGAATACAGATAATCGCGCTGAAAGGGTAAGGGAAAAGAACATACGCGACCGCGTTTACCCGGATACCCTTAGGCATAAGCTGTAAGGCGAGGGACCGGGTGAAGCCCACAATCGCCCCCTTGGTGGATGCGTAATCGACCATCGTGCCGGAGCCGCGGAAGGTGGTGACGGATGTGTTATTGATAATCCTGCAGAGGATAGATTAGCCAGCTAGAATCGTGCAGTGGCAATGGGAAGACTGACGAATCTCCCTTGGACATATGTGGGAGCGCGTATTTGGTGATGGCAATCATCTGCAGAATATTGGTGCGGAAGGTGTCCTCGACCTTATCGAGATCAATCTCGGCCAGATCCTTGCACATGTACTGCTTCGATGCGTTGTTCACGAGGACGTTGATGTGCTTGAACCTGCAGGAGCAAGACGACTGCGTTAGTCCCCGTCCCTAAGGAAGACCGACTGAAGCCAGCATACTTATTCACATGTTCCTCCACGGCCTTCTGACACGTTTCGTTCTTGCGCAAGTCGCCCGGAATCAGGAGACAACTGCGCCCCTCCTTCTCGACCAATTTCTTGGTGTGTTCCGCGTCTTCCTGTTCCTCGGGCAGGTATACGATGGTGATGTCGGCCCCTTCGCGAGCCATCAACGCAGCGACTGACCGACCGATTCCGGAGCTGGACGGGATTGTCAGTAATGGTACAAGTGCACCGGGCGGACGACTCACTCTCCACCCGTGATCAGAATCTTCTTGTCCTTGAGCTTGTTGGAGCCCGTGTATTCGACGAATCCCTGGCTACCTTCTAGCTTAGTGGACTCACTGGACGGCGCCATCTCCTTCTCCAGACTATTCGAAGTGTTAGTCCCCGCTGTGCGTCATGGCTTGCGAAAGTGGAAGCGTACCCCGGTTTGCTCTGAGCCTGCTTCGCCTGGGGAGCCTGGAAGGCCCCATCCTTGCCCATCTGCGATGACATGTTGCGGATTTTCAGAGTGTGAGAGAGAGAGAGAGAGAGAGAGAGAGAGAGAGAGAGAGGGATGCAGAGGAACTTGCTTCAAACAGTTCTGCTGGTAAAAGTCCAATCCCCGGACCGGATTTTATATGGCAGGCCCAGAATACCACATCATTCAGTCATGCGTGCGTCATAGTGCTCGAGCTGTCTGGCCCGGTGCGCGGGGCGGTGAAATGCGTCTGGTGCGATAAGCGCGATGCTTTGGGGCCGCTCTTGCTTCTGGCCCAGGCTGTATAATATAAATTCACAGCGTGCAGCTTCTCATGCGCATGAGCAGGGTTGATGACCTGGTATGGGGTGGTGACGTTGCTGCCCTTCGAATGGTGCACATAAAGAAATTATGCCGCAGATCAAGAGCTGCTGACTAACCTGCTCATAAGCGGTCACGTGGTGCTGCTCGGCCATCGTGACTCGGGAGTGTGAAAAGTTCTTACCGCTCTCGGGGCAAAATTCCAGCCTTCCAGCCCACACCGAGTTATCCTCCGATTCGATCCCGTCGGTCCCGTCGCAGCCTTGATGCTGCCTCAGGCTGGCCTAAGACTTAAGGAAGAAATGCTTAAAATCCCGTGCGTATCCCTTTATCACGTACAAAGCTTAGCATTAGCTTCAATCGATAATTTCAGAACCCTCAAGCAAATCACAGAAGTAAATGAAAATCTTGAGATTTCAATATTCCCACGGATATTGAGACACATTCAAATGTATTCAAGTCATCTAAATTGGCACCATCACTCTAACAGTGAGTTATGCCGACATAGGTCACCCCCGGCAAACTAGACACTCTAGTTAAGCTTGAACTGGGCCTGGTCCTTGTCGATCGCACTCAGCTCCTTGTTATTGTCCAGCTCCTGCAGTCTGCCCTGCAGTTTGGCTGTGATGAGCATGATGGCCGTCCCGCTCAGCGGCAACCACAGCGGCACCTTCTCCCCGCGGGCCGCCACCTGATATAGCACCTGCGCCACCTGCTCGGGCTGCACTCCGACGCCCGCCTCGAGCCCCTTCTTCACAAACACCTCGAGCTGCCTGGCCGGCAGATCAGGAGCGGCGTAGGCCTCGTGCGGCTTGATGTGCTTCTTACTGGTCGTCTCGAAGTTGGTCTTGACAGCGCCGGGCTCGACGATGCAGAAATTGACTTTCTACCGTCAGCACACTAATGCACTTTCTTTGCCCCATCATCCAAGGGAAGCAAGGGGAAAACATACTGTTCCAATCAGGGTGCACTTCTCGTGCCACCGACTCGGTCCACCCCTCGACCGCGAACTTGCTGGCGTGGTAGAAGGCATGGCCTGGGAAGGCGCACACGCCTGCCACGGAGGAGACGTTGAAGATGAGCCCACCCCGGCGCGTGGGCGACTGCCGCATCACCGCGACGGCCTTCAGAGCAACGCGCACCGTCCCGAAAAAGTTGGTCTCGAACTCGTCGTGCATCTCCGCCTCGGTCACGGCCTCGCTATCCCCGGACAGCGGGTAGCCGGCATTGTTGACTAGGACGTCGATGTAGTAGCTCTCCCCAAAGTGGGCCGCTGCGGTCTGGAAGGCAGCGTCCACCGCCGCGGGGGAGGTCACGTCCAGCGCGAGCTTGAGGATGGCCGGGTTGTCGTCGGGCAGGTAGGAGAGGCTGGCAGGGTTGCGGGCGGTCGCGATGAGCCGGTGGCCGGGTTGAGCGGCAACATGCGTGGCCAGCGCGCGTCCGATGCCGCTGGAGCAGCCGGTTACTGGGTGTGTCAGTGGGTTGTGCCAGGACGGTGGGGATGGGCCGGCATACTGAACCAGGTGGCATCAGCGGGGAGCTGGTAGGGCTTGGTGTTGACGGGATTCATCTTGTTTGATTGGGCGATTGAGCAATGCAATGGGAAGTGGGTTGGAAAGTGCTGCTGATGAGGATGATAGTGCTTCGGGGAGAATGATTCCAGACTTTATACCTGGCCATCTGAAGTTTGCTTGCGGAGGCCGCCTTCAGGTTTGCTCCGCCGCCTGCCCGAGCTGTGGTGTGATTCCCAAGACCAGCTGCATTAGTGAGGGGATAGTTGATCACCATGCTAGGATGTAGCGGATTAGGGCTGGTGTCTGTCGGGCTTAGCGGTCGGAGTTACCCCGCTCCGTCGGTCGGATGGTTGTTCGTACCCTCACCTCACCTCACAACTTCGGGAGTTTCATGGTCATTCGGAGGGTTTTGGCAGGCATACAATTCTTGGCAACTGCTGCACAGTGTCGGCTGATGTCATGGTCTGCTGAAGATTCGCTGTGTGTAGTATTGAGTGATTGAGTGGGAAGCGAAGTCGGCCCGGGCAGCCCCCGCCCTAAACGTGGTTCGCAGGGATGAAAAGAATTACTCAAGAGAGGGTACCTTTGTCGAGTGAGCAGCTCCATCTCTCTGAAGGAGAACGAAGGATGCAGGGTTAGCTACCCCGCTATTTTCTGAGGATATGCATGCTCAGTGTAACATTTTACGAGAGGCAGTCAAAGACAATACATCTGTTTGCCTCCACGGTTGCTGCATTGGCTTGTACAGACACGGGCGTGAAACCCTTAAGCTGGACCTCTTTAGACGGCCATTGCAGAATGCTCCCTTCCCATCTAGCCTCAACAGCCTTGGCCCCACAGTCGCCAGCACCCTGTAAAGTCAATGCAGAATACATGATCATCTTGTAGTTCACTTGAATAATGGTAGAACCACCAATCAACGGGGTGAAGCTTGAGAGGGTCCAGTGATCGCCATGGTGTCATGCAGTCTTCCCTTAGTCGTCGATCACCACTTTCTCTTCCTTCTGGTCCACAAGGAGGGATCGTTCAGAAGTTGGTAACTACAATTTCCGTCACTTGGAACAATTCCATGTCCATGTCCCCACGAGAATTGTATCTTGTATATTCTATACCCGGCGAAGGTCGCAGCCGAAGAAGATCGACGCCGAGGCGGGAGCTAATCGCCGCGTCGCCTGAACTGCCCCTATTCTCGTGCCGGTTCTGGACCCTGCGCGGATCTTCCAAATTGCTGATTCCGGAGCAGTAATTGGTCCGATGCATGAGCAATTCCTCAATTGAGTTAGCACTGATCCGGCATCACTTTTGCAGAGGGCATCAACAATAAATGGCATTTGGGGCGGGAGCGACCGTGTGGCCGGCTGATCCGCACGGGCTCGCCACAGTGGGCGGCGCTATATGAGATGATAGTCATTGTAGACGGCGCCTCGTGTCTTGAAGCAGACAGGAAGGCCCACTGTAATCCATAGGCCACTTCAAAAAGACTTATCGGAGATCTCTATATTCTGTATATGCATTGTTATCCAATCTGGGGTCGGATCGTGCCTCTAGTCCCAAGCTACTATAGCCAAGGGTTTGTCTGCCCGCTCTGCAACATCGATTCTAGACTGGTGGCTTGATCCCCCGCTCTAGTGCTGACTCGAAGAATCGTTAACTCTCGTCATATTGCCTTGTGCTGCTGCAGAGTCGGAGACAGAGCGGCGAAGATATGGACACCTAAAAGATAGGGCTCGCCCATCCGTTCACGGATAGGCCGGGACAGATGCCTGTTTGCGGGTGGATGGATGTATGTACTTTTGTCGTAAATGAGCTCATGAATTGCCAATGAGAACTCCTCGGGGATTACAGCAGCCGCCTTAGGAGTCCAGTCTGGCTTATGTCGGTTTGAATCACCCAACGGAGTATTGAGAGCCCTGAGTTGGATGGTTATCAATCTCATCGCCTGCAGAATGGACCGTCGATCAGCACTCCGCACGGAATGTGGTCCTACAGAAGAAAAGCAAAATCAGAACACAATGTCTCATAGTATGAACCTCTAGGGCTGGTTATATTGTACTCGAAATATAAGAATCAGCAGAGATGGTACATTGACAATAGACCTTGACACTACACTTAAAGGTGTTGACTGATCGATACCGCATGCACCCTCACCATGTCGGACTCTAATAACCCCCCCAAACGAGCTGCCTGTGACCGCTGCAGGACGCAGAAATTGCGCTGCGTTCGTGCCCCCGGCCACCCCGCTGACTCGTGCATTCGATGCATTCGATCCCAGATGGAATGTGTAACCAGTTCATCCAAGCGGCCGGGTCGACCCAGAAACTCGACCACTGCTTCGCGGCAGACCACCGGCTCGACTCGAACGAAATGTAACATTGATGATATGCACAGCCCTCGCAATCCGAGCCCATCTCTTCCCGCAGTGGATCTCCACGCTCTGACCAGCGTGGACGACTGGTTCAACCTCGAACTACTAGACGCCGACTACGAGATGAGCAGTGCTCCGTGGAACTCCATTGACGCCGGGTTCCCCATTGATGGCAGTGCGACCATTCACACTATGTCCTCGCCATCTACGCCCCCAGATGGACCCTCGCCAGCAGCTTTACTGAATGACCCGATGATGGACACCAGCCCGACCGAGCATCTCCCGCTCTTGCAGCTCGAGCCCATCGACCCGGGCTTGCTGCCGCTGTTTGGCGACCAGCTGCCCCCTCCGATCTTCGACCATGGCCTGCACCTCTCCGTGCTCCAACGCGAACTCTCCAAGCAACTCTTCGCTCTCCGGTCGATGCCTTGGGACACGACCAAAGCAATGTGGCTGACCTGCCTCCACGAAGCCGGGGGCTGCGACTCCGCCACTCACCCGAGCCCACCGGATCTCCAGATCACAACCACCACTACCACCACCAACCCACTCGCTAAGATCGCCCAAACCGCCGCCGATTTTGCTCGATTTCTGCGCTCCATCCAAGCCTCTACCCCTCCAGAGAGCACCAATGTCCATCACCACCCAGCTGCCAAAGCTCCCGCCAACACCACCCCCACCTTAGCATTCACCCACCCGCGCCTCAGCATCGCCGACCTCCTCACCATTCTAAGCTGCCATCTGCTCACGATCTCCATCTACGACGCCATCTTTGGCCACTTCATCGACCAGGCCCGGCTCAATCCCACGGCCCTCAACCTGGCGACGCAAGCGG